TGGATGCTATACCTTTATCAGGGAAATTTGATATAAATTTTTTTTTACTAATTAGACCACTTTCCTTCTTATTCTAAGTGCATTAATTTTGTTCGTGAAGAAGCTTTTCTGTTTCAAGTAGTCAATGATTTATTTTATCTTTTGCGATTGCTTCTGGCTTTTGTTCGGTTAAGGATACATCTTCTATCCAGTGAGAGGTGTATAATCTGCTTTTCTTCTGATTTTTTATCGTATAATTTTTAATGTTAAGTTTGCGTATCCATTTAGAATGTATCATGGAATGTGGTGGGAGATGTTAATCTAGGTCCAATTTCTGCCAGACTACTTTCCAGTTTTCCCAACATTTTTATCACTTATGGAGTTTTCTTCTAGGGGATTTATGTTTTCCACTTTATCAAACACTGGCCTGTTGAGTCCCATTATTTCTAAATCTCCCTTGTCTAGTCTTTTCCACTGATCTTATGCTCTATTTTTTTAACCAAGACCAAATGCGAATTTTTTTTAAGGGGAAAAGAAAAAGCAGATTCAGCAAAACTGATCAGGACCATCAAAAAAATCTGACAATATATGTAATGTTCCACACCGGTGGACCCCCTTTTGCAAAGGACTGGACCTAACTAAAGTGGGGTGGGGAGTGGGGGGTTGTCTTCTTATCTCTTCTTTGAGACCAAGGTTATTCTTTGTAATTTTTCAGTATTCATTTTCGGTTTCTTTGTGGTGGTAATTTCCATTTACATTGCTGTAGACATTGTGTGTTGTTTTCTTGGCTCTGTTTCCCTCTCTTTGCATCAGTTATGTAACGCTTACCATGATTTTCTGTATTCACGAAATTCATTGTTTCTTACAGCGTGGTAATATCCCATTACATTCATATACCACAATTATTTTTTTTTAAGCCATTCCCCAGTTGATGGGCATCTACTTTTGTTTCCAGTTCTTTGCTACCACAAAAAATGCTACTACAGTTTTTTTAAGGATTTCTTTTTGTCAGTGTCCTCCTTGGAGTATATGCCTAGTAGTGGAATCTCTGGGTCAAAGATTTTAGCTAGTTGATTTGCATAATTCCAAACTGCTTTCCAGAATTATTTTGCTAATTCAGTTCCATTAACAATGGAGTAGTATGCCTCTCTTTCTACAACTTCTCAAGTGTTGACTATGTTCATACTTTATCTTCTTTGCCAATTTGCTGGGTATGAGGTGAAACCTCATGCTTATTTTGATTTGCCTTTCTTTTATTATTGATTTTGGTCATTTTTTCCATATAGTTGTTAATAGTGTGTGTTGTTTTTGTATAGTTCTTTTATAGAGTTATCTTTTTTTAGTTCTGTATTGGTTGGTAAATTCCATGTGCATCTGCTTCTCTACATATTCTTTTTATTCCTTCTTGGAATTGTTTCCTTTTGTCTCTTCAGAATGAAAAATTCATTCTTGAGAGTTTCCCCTCCCTTTTGAGCTGACTTTATCTATAGAATTTTAGACTGAAATATTTGCCTTCCTTTCTCTGAACATTTGAAATCTACTTTACTAAAACCTAGGGTTCATGTTTGACTTCTGGTGGTTTTTGTTTGTTTGCTTGTTTGTTTTCATCTCTATCATAAATTCTAAGATAAAGTGATCACTTCTCTGAAAATGTCCCATCATTTCTATCCTAGCAGCCACTTTTCCTTCTTTATTAAATGAGTCAGATCCAGAAGTTGTTCCCTTTTCTTGATTCCTCTACTTCTAAAGAATAAAATTATTAAAGCAAATAAATATAATTATTAGCTGTTCTTGCTGCAAATATAGATTATTATTACCTTTTGGCAGAGAGAAAGCCCTGGAAATGTCTTGATAATTGAAGTCTCTCATTACTACTGTATGAAGCCTTGTGTTTCCTGACCTCTTCATGTTTCCTCTTTCTAGCCATGTGGTCTGTGCAGTTGTTATGAAGATCAAATACGTTAATAAAGTAAAATACAAATCTTAAAGCAGTGTTTAAAATGTCAGCTGTGATTATCAATAAAACAGGAACTGAGAACCCAGAGAGATTCAGTGATTTGCCTGGGGTCACACAGCTAGTAAGTATCCAAGGTGGATTTAGACCTAGGACTTTTGACTCACAAACCAGTTCTCTACCCACTAAGGCCATGTGTTCTCTCAAAAAGTGAATGCAATCTTAGGCTTGAGGCAGTGCCAAAAATGAGAGGGAGGAGAATCATAGATTCTTGGGTGTAGAGATGGAAAGGACCGTAGCAGTTACCCAGACCAACCTCCTCATTTTTATTACATCTCTGAGTTCAAATTTGCCACCATAAGTTTTGATCTCTAATTCTCTTTTTGCTGTATATATTTGGTATTCTTGTATATAAACATCTCAGGCCATGGGCTTTATTTCTGTATCTGTTAGATTTTATTTCCTGTGACTTTCTGGGTATCTTTACTGCTTTTTTCCACAGTTTAGCTATTTCCTCTGTTACCTAAGTTGTTCCCCTTCCTTTTCAATTTAAAACCCTTTGATGGAATTTTTGCAGGCAGATGTATCTTTCTAGCCCCTATGAGATACACATCATCCTTTGCTTCTCATTTATTATTCCTGAGTATTTTTAATATGTCCAGAAATACAAATTCTATTTTCAGAAACCATCTTATTACCGAGCTGATTACTTCTCAAATCCTCCATTTCTTTCTGAAATCCTTGCTTTTGATTGGTGGCAATACCACCTATACTCCTAAAAGTCTTCACTTTCTTCCCCAGACATGAATGCTGCTGGATGGGTCTTAATTTGATTGAAAAGGAGCTGGGTCCAGAATTGAGCAGGTAGTAGTTATTTGGATGGGTTGGGGTTTTTTTGTTTTTGTTTTGTTTTTTGGGAAAGTAGGATGTGCTTTTTAGTGATCACAAACTGCTCACTGTCACAACGACCTGTTTCTTTATCACTTGTGTATTCTGGTTAGACTTAAGGAAACACCACATAGGATCAAAGGATTTAGAACTGGAGGTTACTTTAAAGAGTTCCATGTCCATTCTTCTCATTTCTTCCCAGAGAAAATTTAAGAGGGCAGGGACTTAAACTTTTGCATCTGTGTCTGTAGCAGCTAGAAAACAGTACATGGCACATAACACATTTTAAGTGCTTGATTACTAATGATGATATAGAGACCCAGGGGTATGATGTGACTTGCTCAAGTCTACACTTGTAGCATTTATTGCAGCCAGGATTCCATTCCATTTCTTCTATATCTGAACAAAAGCTTTTGTTCAAGAAGTAGCATAAAAAGAGTATGGAGAAAAAAGTAAAAGGAAGCGGGCCAGTCATAGTAGTGAGCATGAGATGTGAAATGGACAGTTAGAATGGTTCATTAGTACTAGTGAGACATTAAAATAATCAGAAGGCCTCAAGCATATTGGTTGTTTTGTGGAAAGACATGGAAAAGAATCACATAGGTTAAGAAGAATTGCAATCTCCATTGGTGTTAGCAGTATCCATATGTATGGAATTACAGCATCACCAGCATGTCTTTAGAATGATTCATAATCTCAAGAGCACTTTCCAGTACAAATAGTCCTCATCATACAAACATCAGACTTGCAAACATCCTGTATGTACAAATAGTTGCCCCTGTCTTTCTTTCTACTTTGTCTTAGAATTGTAAAAATCCTTGCTGCTACCTTGGGAGCAATTTTGCAAAAATTTAAAGCGCTTAGATTTTCTGTGGTTTTGGAAGTGAGGGAAAAGAAAAAGTTTAAAGAAGGAATTATAGTCTGCCTATTGGGTGACTTGTTTTTTCCCCCAGCGTATTACATCACAGTAAATTTTTAAACGTACTTCTGTTGTGCTGCCAGAAATTTAGATACAGACATCTTCTTTTCAAAATGTAAAATCCCTTGGAGTATGTACTAAAGCATCATTAAAAACATCAGTATTAGAGCAAATACTTTATTATATTAGTATTGTCTTTCTTCCTAATATAGTATTCAATTTCAGTCAGCTATACTCAGGAAATGGACATTTTGATTAGCAGCAAAGGGAAACATTGGTGAGGTTAAGGAAGGAGTTAGAGTTAGAACAGCATATAGGTCCAAGAGGGAGATATTTTTGGACTTTGGGGAGGATTACAAAGATGAATTTGTTAATTTCAAAATTTTTACTAGGACTAATCTTATATTCAAGAAAGAAGGAGAAAACTTTCTTTCCTTTTCTTCCTTCACACAGCACGGTCCCTTGTTCCCAGGACTTAAACATATGAATCTAGCACTAGGTACTTAAACTATGTTGAATTATATACAGGCTTCCACAAATAATCCTGGTAATTTGTCTACTTTTTTGTAACTTTTTTTCTGGGAGATTATGAGTTCTGAGCCTTAGGCTTCCAATTTGTAAGTGAACTTTTGGAATACAACTCATTTGTAAATTGGAAACTGCCAGTATTTTGTCCTTAAGTGTCTACCAGCCCATGGAATTTGTCTACTCTGATGCCTGTGGCAGCCTAAACAATGAAATATTTATCTAGCAGACTTTCTTTTTAATTATTCATTTTTAGAATGTTGCTACCCACAGAGATGTTAGGAATCACCTATTTTAAGCCCTCTCATTTTACAGATAAAATAATTGAGGACTACAGAGGTTAAATGACTTGCTCAGAGTTATACACCTAGCAAATATTGGAGTAGAGTTTCTAACCTAGGTCTCCTGACTTACAGTCTTTGGTGTTTTTCGCTCCGCTGTGCCACAATGCTCTTTGCTTCACTTAATTGGAGTCTAGGATTCTGACCATCAGACTTGCATTTATAAGTGAGGGTTCTTTTATAATAAAAAGGTAATAGTTGCAGAGGAAGGCAGTTGATGACGCTTGTTCCCAACAGAAGTGATATGCATAGTTGGGTGCATTTATACTGCATAAAAGATGGGTTTTGGTGAAAAATTATTGTATTGAGTTTCCTTTACTGTAGCACCATATTCCAGTGAGCTCCCAAGTTTGTCTTCATACGTGTCAACTTACTATCATTTCTCACATTACAGGTTAATTTTTTCAAGGAATTCTGTGCATTTTCTCAAACATTACAACCTCAAAACAGGGATGCATTTTTCAAAACTTTGGCAAAATTGGGGATTCTTCCTGCTCTTGAAATTGTAATGGTAACTATATAATTTCTTTATACTTTTGGAAGTTGTGAATTTATTATATCGATGATACAGGTCTTGCTAATGAAATTTATATCACTAGTGCATTTTGGATATAAAGTGGCCTTTTGTAATGGAGTTACTGTAATCACAGTTATTGTTTGGCTAATGTTGTTGAAATATTAACAAATATATGCAAGTTTTACAGTTTGGGGTTTTTGTTTACAATCGTAACTTTTAGTGTGTGAATGGCTTTGAGAGGGTGACAGGTGAAGGATGAAACATTGAGTGTTCTCCAGAAAACCAGTCATACCCTCTCTAATTATTAGTTCAGTTATGGAAACATATACAGTTTCCCAAAATGGTTTTTGAAAGTATTCCCAATTAGGGACAACCAGGGAGGAAGAAGATAGACACAGCCGGATGAAAGACTAATTTTGGAAGGGCTAGAAGCTTGATCTAGGAATCAATGTAAAGACAAATTTTAAGCAATAGGGAGGCCACTAAGTTCAAATTTTCTTATGATTTTGAGATGGGAAATTCAGAAATTTTGTGTTATTTCCTATTTAAGTCATTGCTTGTAGGGAAATTCCTTGAAGTTAGGAATTTTTTTTATTCATCTTTTTTTATCTGTCCCTTTTCTTGCTTAGTAGAGTACCTTATACTGAGTTGATACTTAATATTTCTTGAGTTAATTTTTTAAAAATTAATTAGTTCTTTGATTTCACTGGTATAGGGAGTTCTTGGTAAGGAATTTCCTCTACCAGTGAAGATGTACAGTCTTAGAAGTTGCCTGGAACACTAAGAGGTTATATAAATTGCCCGTGGTCCCAAAGTCAATATGTATTAACTGTGAGACTTGAACCCAAGTCTTCCTGACCCTGGGGCCAGCTCTTTATCCATGCTGTTTCTCAAATTAAAGAATACATGATCTAATTAACTGAATATTTGCTCTTTTATGGTAATAATGGAAAAATCAAGAGCTGGAAATTTCTAGAAACCTAGAGAATACATGATCTAATTAACTGAATATTTGCTCTTTTATGGTAATAATGGAAAAATCAAGAGCTGGAAATTTCTAGAAACCTAGGGATAGAGAGGTAGGAGGAAGGAGATAAGCATTTATACGTTTACATAGCCACCTACTATGTGTCAGGCACTGTGCTAAATGCTTACAAATATTATCTCATTTGATCCTCACAACAACCATGGAAGGTAGCTGCTATTATGATTCCTATTTTACCGTTGAGGAAACTGAGGCAAAGAGAGGTTAAGTGACTTGCCCGAGGTCACAAGGTAAATGTCTGACGCTAAATTTATATCCATTCTTCCTGACTCCAAGCCCAGCACTCTGTCCACTGCACCATTAGTTACCCTGTCAGGGAATGTGGTGGTAGGGTGTAAATTCTTGGTGGAGAAATTTTCACTTATTTATTTATCTATCTATCTATCTGTTCATTTATTTATTTGTTTGTTTGTTTATTTTTGGCAAGGCGGTTTGGGTTAAGTGACTTGCCCAGAGTCACACAGCTAGTAAGTATCAAGTGTCTGAGGCTGGATTTGAGCTCAGGTCTTCCTGACTGCAGAGCCACTATTCTATCTACTGTGCCACCTAGCTGCCCCCTTAGAAATATTTATGGAATAGAACTGGTTTTTTGTTTGTTTGTTTGTTTTTTGGCTAGGCAGTGGGGTTATATGACATCCCTGGGATCACGCAGCTAGTAAATGCGAAGTGTCTGAGGCCAGATTTAGACTCAGGTCCTCCTGACTCTAGAGCCTGTGCACTCTTCACTGTACCACCTAGCTTCCCCAAGAAACTTTTTTTTATCATTTCAAACCTGCAGCTGTTGTACAATTTATAGTCTTAGATGTTTGCTTTGTGACACTGAAAGTTTTTTGTTTTTTGCTTTTTGGTGAAGCAGTTGGGGTTAAGTGACTTGCCTAGGGTCACGCAGCTAGCAAGTGTCATGTGTCTAAGGCCGGATTTGAACTCAGGTACTCCTGATTCCAAGTCCCGAGTGCTATCCATTGCACCACCTAGCTGCCCACTCCCCCCCTTTTTTGCTTTTTTTTTTCTTTTTGGTGAGGTGATCAAGGTTAAGTGACTTGCCCAAGGTCACACAGCTAGTAATTTTTTTAAGTGTCTGATGGCAGATTTGAACTCAGGTCCTCCTGACTTCAAGGCCAGAGCTCTATCCACTGCGCCACCTAGCTGCCCCGACACTGAAAGTTTTAATAAGATTTTCCCTGGATTACAAAACCAGTATGTTATCAGATGGCAATTAAACTCAGATCCTCTTTATTCTGAGCCTTTCTGTCTACTACACTATGCTGCCTCTCCAGAAACTAATTATTAAACACCTCCAGCTCTAAAGATTTGGTATTTGTTCAAGAAGGAAAAGAAAGGGACACATAATTAAGAAGTATATTCAGAATGCAGCAACAGAAATTATCACTAACATAAAACTTTTTTTTGTTTCCACATTGGATTATTCACGTATGGCACAGGGGTTGATCTTCCCTCAGTGCAAAGAATAGTGTATAAACCATACACAGTAAATTTTGTTGTCAAATTATGCATTTTACAAAGTATATTTAAGTAATTAAATTTTTCTTTCATTCAGGGAATGGATGATTTGCAGGTCAGGTCTGCCGCTACAGATATATTTTCTTATCTAGTAGAGTTTAGTCCATCCATGGTCCGAGAATTTGTTATGCAAGAAGCCCAGCAGAGTGATGATGTAAGTAATAATGTTCTTTTTTTAAAAAATTAGTGTTTTTAGTAATAATCTAGTTAAATAATATTACCATATATTTATGCATATAAATTTGTTGAGAATAAGAATAGCCATAGTCTTAAGTATTTTGAAATAGAATAAGATTTATAATTAATACGTTATTTGGACAGTTTAGAGAAAGCAATTATAACAGTTTAGTTTTTTTATTATAAAGAAAAAAAACACATGGCAATATTTTCTAGATGTAAGTAAATTATATTGGATTTGAAGTCTTAAATGTCACTCTTAAGTATAAGTTTTGAAGAGTAGCTACTAATCTAAATAAAACTTCATACCATGAGGAGATTTGTAGGACATTGGTCAGCAAACATAACTAAACAGTTCTGGTGTTTATTCTCTTTTTTTTTGTTTTGTTTTGCTTTTGTTTTTGTTAATGAAAATGAAAACAATAAAGCTGTTGACTTTTTTTACCTCAGTTTTTAAAAAATCTTTTTAGTAGAAGAAAATGATATATTTGAGTCTAAAACAGAAGTCAAGAGGACTTCATGTTTTTTCTCTTTTAAAAAATTTTGATGTTATTAGCTAGGTTTTTAAAGATATTTGTGCTCTATATTTTTTTTATCCTTTTGTTTTTTCCTCAAGGTAATTGGAATTAAGTGACTTGCTCAGGGTTGCACAGCTAGTTAAGTGTTAAGTGTCTGGTCTGAGATCAGATTTGAATTCAAGTCTTCCTGACTCCAGGGCAGGCACTGTATCCAGTGCCCCACCTAGCTGTCCCTATTTGTGCTCTTCTCTTTCAGACTCTTTTGAGCCTTACATTTTGTAGTAGATCTTGAATTGAATGGCAGTGTATTTCTACTTTTGTGTCTTTAATTCTTTATTAGATTTATTATTAGCGTTTTTTAAGGATTTAAAAGAGTAACCTAGATGTTTTCATAAGCTTTTTCTGTAGCCATTTCTATTTTAAAATTTTAATTTTAAAGGCTTGACCTCTTAAATAGAAAATACAGATATTCATTCTGTGTTCTTGGAAGGATTTTTGTAGATTTTTTTTTCTTCAAATGAGGTTTCTTTGACTCCAGAGTACATAATCTGCCTCCTTTTATCTGTGCCTTCTCTGAGTGACTTCTATTTTGACTTATTATAGTTTATTAGGAATAACTACTACCGAGATTCTGCTTGTATGTAATGATTTATTTGATTAAAGACATTTATCTTAAGTTACATTTTGCTAGTGTTTTCAATATCATCTCTCTCTTAACTTTCACTTAGAATCCTTAAAGTTGAAGGATCTGGTTTCTGTTTACTCTGTAGATCATATCTCCTTCTTTGCAGTTAAATAGTGCTGAAGTTGTAGTGCTGTTGCTAACAATTCTTTGTTTTAAGCTATGAAAAGGCTCCTATGTCAGATTCCCTCACTTTTAACATCAGTCAATAGGTCTTCAAGATCAGCTTTGTCCTCAGCTGTATAATTAATGCTTAACTTCTTTGTTATTTTTAATATGTTCCTTTTCCTAAAAGTTAACAAGATCAGGGAAATTATAAATTATTTTAAAATATAAATTGAAGGTTCTGTTTGTATTGGAGTGGTGTTGACTTTTTTTTTATAAAGAAAAAAAAGAAAGCACCCAAAACTAATGGATCTTCCACAGGAATACTTTTTGCAGAAATCTTGATAACCTTATGCCTTTTGTGAATAAATGAACAGCATTCAGCTTTTTGTCTTCTAGCATCATGCACATTAGCTCCAGGGAGTGTAGTTAGTTTCAGTAACACTATTCAATACAATCCAATATATTTGGAAATCCATACATATCAAATTACTATAGAAAAGTTTTGATGTTGAACACTGAAACACTAATATTTTTACTTTTTTTTTAAACAATGTACCATCTGTCTTAAGTTAATCAGTTTTGCATATATAGTTCAGCAATTTGGTGATTTTCTTATTTGGCAGAGTTAATAAGTTTGTCAAGCTTGTTACTTGCTGTATTCAGTGCCTTCAGACTACCATAGAATTGGAAAGGATGAATGTAAAGATCATTTCTGCTCTTTTGCATTTGATCAGTTTCAATTACAGCTTTCATTCTAACCTCCCCTCAAATTTAATCAGCAAGTTGGAAACCCAAGTGGATAGATATTTATAAAGCTACTCCTTCTGTCAGGTCTTTGAGACATTATATATGTAGAGATTTGACTTAAGATGTCTGAATTCTCAAGCCAGTCATTAAAGACAGTTTCTGTCTGCCATGTTGAGACTTTTGTCATGTTAATTTTGCATGGGTTTAAAAACTTATGGCAGAAACTTATTTGTCATTTAAATTCTGCTCTTGCATGACACCAAATTCTCCTTGTATAGCATTAAGAGGAACTTCCAGCACATGGAAGCAGGCAGAATAAAAAATATATTCCAGTCAAGTTAGCTTTACAGATGATTAAAATTTGGAGACATATTCCTACAGAGTTTATCACTGGCTTTTCTCTAGGCTCCTGATGTGATCACCACTACCATCTCACTCCTTAACAGTTTACTTTTTTTAAAAAAATTAATTTATTTTGAATTATCAACAATCACTTCCATAAGCTTTTGAGTTTTAAATTTTTCTCCTCCTCCCTGTCCAACAGTTTACTTTTTAATTTAGTTAAGCAGACATTAATTTATCAAGCATCTGCTATGGACTATCTGACGATTGCTGAGACTATAAAATAGTTCCTGTCCTCAAGGAACTTCATTCTTCTGGACATATTCCTCACTAAAACACTGAGGTATAGGCAGTCCACATTGCTTGTAAAAGTGGTTATAGTTGTAGTATGGTAAAATATAATGGAAGATTGAACATTATTACTCAATTACAAATCAGAAACATCTAAGAATTGGAATAGGTACCACTTTGATTTGATTCACTAGGATCTGACGGCTCTGCTACAGGCAGAGTGCTGCATGCTCCTGCCACCATCTGTAGTGGAAAATGAATTAAAGTGTATACTAATTCATTTGGTGCCACAGGCCCGTCTCTGTACTGTAACAGCACTGAGCAAGCTTAGGAACAGGCAGTGTACAATGAAAGTGTTTTGGATTTGGAGTTAGAGGACCAAGATGTTAATCCTATTACTTAGTAACCTGAGTGACATTTGGCAGATGTCTCTGAGCCTTTGTAAAATGAAAGAGTTGGACTATGAGATGTTCAAGTTCGGTCCTTCTAACTCTTGTTTATAAGAGTGAAAGTATAGTCTCTTCACTGAGAATTCTACTCTCATGGCCTCAACTCAGTTTTGTGACAGTTCTTCCTAAATTTTTGTTCCTAAACTCCCTGGTCTTTCAAACTTTATCATACCTCCCAGATGCTTAATGAACATTACCATTTAGAACCAGTTGTTAACTCTAACGCTATGCCTAAAAGTGAACTTTTCATTTTATACTCCAAAGCTGGTTTTTCCCTCTTGACTTCTCTCTCTGTCAGTTAGAACCTTGGAGTCATTTTCTAAGTTCTTCATTCTCTTCTCATATCTAATCACGTCGCCTAATTCTTTTCTTTGAGGGGTAGGGGTAGAGGGGTGTATATTATAAATTCAAATCTTTTATGTTTTTCCTTCTGTGTCTTATTGTGTTGTGGGCATAATTCTGGGTTCTCAAATTATAGTAGTGGAACACAAGCTGTGGCAGGTTCTTCCAAGGTTGAAACTTTGACTACGAACCTGTTGATGGACTCTGTCATCCAAGGACTCCCTAGCTAAGTTTAGAGAAGCTGATGATCACAGTGACCACAAAGAATTAATTTTTTTAGTCTCAATAATTCTCAGTTGTAGTGGAATTGACATGTGCATAGATGGAGGAGAGTATCTACACTAATGAAATAATAGATCCATCAAATAATAAATAATAGATCCTTGAAATAATGTCTCCTGCATGTATTCATTTCTTATTATTCTCATTGCCTATACCGTTATGTGGCCTGATTATTCTAATAGCTATCTTAATCACTCCAGTCTCTTTTCTTCCCTTGTCCATGCCATGTACTATTCTCAGATTAATAATTATTTTCCTGCTCAGAAATGTCGCTGGTGCTTTGTTACCTATAATATAAAGTCTAGCTTTAGCCTGGTATTCAAGATCTTCTTTGGTTTGAACTCAGTTTGTGTTCCCCAGTTTACCCTCAAACCATTAAAAATAGCAAGTCAGTTAACTACCTTTGCAGCCTAACATAATGAGCCAACATTCTTTAACATGAATTTATGAGCTCTTATCAAATTGTTATTAAAATGCATCTTGTGTATTCCTTAGTTCCAAATTTTTTCTCATGTCGCACCTGCTTCCTTCTTCTTACTTGTTTAAGTCCTTTTATTTCTTCATCTTTTACTTTGCCTACCTTTGATTTTCTTCTTCTTCCTTTGTCTGTTTTCATCCTCATCATTTTTACTTTTCATTTCCTTTTTCTGGAGGCTAACAGGTGGCTCTCATGGTAGCACTTAGGCCAAAGAAATAACTCATCACTAGACTGCATGAATTTTCAACAGGATGAATAGTTTTGTAATTTCAGGAATAACCCCTTTTGACTATCCTAAATGTTTCTACTGTAGGTCTGAAACCTAGTAAAACAAACTTGAGTTGAAAGGAATATTTTTTTTGTACTAGTAAAATTTATTTGCATAAAATATTACACAAAATAAGTCTAAATTGTTCTTATTAGCCATTTAGATATACTTTAAGTGATACTTGATCCCAAATAGTAATTCCTGCTTACAAATATCGAATAAGGGTAATAAACCTAATTGAACAAATGATTAAGAGCCATATTTAACAAGTCTACAAAAAAAACTTTAAATGATGGATAGAATGTTGTAACATTAGACAACTTCATTTTAGGCTTTAATTCCATATATTCATTAAAATCTCTCCAGTAAAATGTGTACCAATCATTCCAAAATCATCAAGTCATGCCAACAACCATTTATTAAGTACCTGCTGTGGACCAGGCTCTGTGCTAAGCACTAAGGATACAAATAAAGACAAAACACAGTCCCCTGCTCTCAACGAGCTCCTAGTCTAATGAGGCAGACAACTAGGGTAAATGGGAGATAAAAACAGAAGGAAGGCACTAAAGTTAAAGAGAACTGAGAAATGCTTCTTGTAGAAGGTGGGACTTTATTTGAGACTTGAAGGAAGCTGGGAGGTAGAGATGATGAGGGAGAAAGTGTTTGGCTTGGGTGACAGCCGGTAAAAATGCCTGGAATCAGATAAGTCTTGTGCAAGGAACAGCAAGAAAGCAAGTGTCACTTTATCACAGAGTTCATGGAGGAGGAGAGTAAGGTGTAAGAATACTAGAAACACATCAAATCAAGGGACCAAGTTGAGATGAGCATAAGCCAAACAAGATTTTATATTTGATCCTGGAGAGAACAAAGAACCACTGGAGTTTTTCAAATGGGTAGGGAGGTGACATGGCCACACATGTACTTTAGGAAGATCTATTTGACAGCCGAGTAGAGTATGAACTGTACTGAGGAGAAACTTGAAGTCAGAGAGACCAGCCAGCAAGCTATGGCAATGTTCTAGGCATGACAGAGTTCAAACAGAAGATTGTAAGAAGACTGGGCAGGTAGGGAGGGGCCAAATAGGGAGTGAGGGTGAGGAAGGAGACATGGTCAGACCTGTACTTGGAGGAAGATCCATTTGACAGCTGAGTAGAGGATGGACTGAACTAGGGAAGACTAGAGTCAGGGAGATTGACCAAAAGGCTATTGTAGGTGTAAAGTAATAGAGGGTCTACACCAGAGGAGAGAAAGGTGAATATAATAGACACAGAAGATGAAAATTACAGAACTTGACATCTGAATGCATTAAGAAAAGGTCTGGTCTAACGAGAGAGTGAGGAGTCAAAGATAACAGGTTGCCAGCCTTGGTAACTGAGAGGTTAGTAATACCTTTGACATAGGGCAGTTAGGATGAAGGGAGGTTTTAGGGAAAAAAATAATGAGTTCAGTTTGAGATATCTACAAAACATCCAGTTCAGGGGCAGCTAGTTGGCACAGAGGACAGAGCACCGGCCCTGAAGTCTGGAGGACCTGAGTTCAAATCCAGCCTCAGACTAAACACTTGACACTTACTAGCTGTGTGACACTGGGCAAATCACTTAACCCCAATTGCCTTTAAAAAAAAAAAAGGACATCCAGTTCAAGATGTCCAATAGGCAGTTGGAGGTCAAGAGAGGATAGGGCTGGACAAGTATATTTGAGAGTCATCTGTATAGAGATGATAATTGAATCCATGGTAGCTAGTGAGATCACCAGAGAAGAGGGCCTCAGACAGAGCATGCCCAGAGTTAAATTGAGTAAGATCTGGAAGGAGAATCCAGCCGGAATGACTGAAATAGGAGGAGAACCAAGAGAAAGCAGTGTAAGGAAAATCTAACGAGAAATATCAAGAGTGTGATGAACAGTGTCAACGAGTAGAAACAGGTCAGAAAGGATGAAAATTGAGAAGAAGCCATTAAATTGAGCAATTAAGAGGTCATTGATAATTTTAGAGAACTGTTTTGGTTACATGATGAAGTTGGAAGTCAGACTACAGAGAGTAAGGCAAAAGGAAATAGAGGTATGGATTGTAGGTGGCATTTTCAGGAATTTTAGTTAGAAAAGAGAGGTATTAGATGCTAGCTAATAGATGAATGAAGTGAGGTTTTTTTGAGGATGAGGGAAACATGGAATGTTGTAGTAGGGAGGCTGGTGGTAGACAGAGATTGAAGATAAGTGAAAGAGGGATGATAATGGAGGGAGCAATCTTCTGGAGAAGATGGATGGAATGAGATCCCTAGTGCTATAAAAAAAAAAAGGCAATAGATTAATGTGAGCCATGGAAGGGACTGTCTTCTGCCTTTTTTTCTTTTTTCATTCTCTTTTTTTTAGGGGGAGGGTATCCCTAGTGTTTTATATAGTGCTTAGGCACATAGCATGAGACTGAGAGAATATGTATTTTGGGATCACATGGTTTGAGATGTTAGTCTGTGTCTAAATTCTTGAGGCTAAAATCCAGAATGGAAATGTTTGCACCTTCAGGGAACAAAAATTTCTGTTAAGTGATTTTGTTATCCACATTAGTATAATGATGTTGCAAGCTATGGTCCATTCTTGTGGGGTTTTTTGTCTTTGAGAGGGTTGGGGGAGGTAGGTTTTTTCTTCCTTGGGGGAAGAGGGAAGACTTTCTGCCACAATTTGAAAAAGTAGAAAGAAATAAATTCAATTAAGTATTTATTATTATTTTATTTCATTGTTACCTGCTTTAATTCTGGTTTGTTTTTATTTTCCATTCAATCAGTGGTATGTAAAATATCTATATCTATGCATTTAGATATAGATATAATGTTTATTTAAAACAAAGTCTAATTGAAACATGTTTTCTTTCAGGATATCCTTCTCATTAATGTAGTAATTGAACAAATGATCTGTGATACTGACCCTGAACTAGGGGGAGCTGTTCAATTAATGGGACTCCTTCGTACTTTAATTGATCCAGAGAACATGCTGGCTACAGCTAATGTAAGACGATATCCAGGGGTAAAAAGCATTTTTATTATCTAATATAGTTTTGCCTTAGAAATAGCACACAGCACTTTGTTTATATAGATTGTCCATTTAGGATTCTAAATTGATAATTGTTAAGGTTAAAACCAGGGCTATAATTTGTAAAAATTGCAAATTTTGAGAAACTGATTTCTAAATTACCCTTAAGTAAAGGACTTTTTAAATTTTTTCTTTTCATGGCTTTTTATTATATAAAACCAGCTTCCAAATACATGTGAAAATACATCTAGCCATTCCAGTGTTGTTACTTCTTAAGTATTACTCATTCTTAGTTATTTTTAAAGTACTGTATTATAAATGTATTTTGTTTCTAGCAGTATTTATCATAAGATGCAATAAGATTTTTAGTTTCTTTGCTATAACAAGATGGTTAAAATATATGTATCATATGTGATGTTTTAGATAGTAGTATAAGCCAACATGTGATGTGCACTGATTCTTAAAGTTGGTTGTCAATTATGAAGGTAATAAATTCTCACCTTGTTCTTTTCTGTTATAGAAAACTGAAAAAAGCGAATTTCTAAATTTCTTCTATAATCATTGTATGCATGTTCTCACAGCACCACTTTTGGCTAATACTTCAGAAGACAAATGTGAAAAGGGTAAGCATGTGCTCGCGAGCATGTGTGTGTGTGTGTTTCTTTAATCATTATTTTGTGATTCTCTTGCCTTAAAAGTGAAAGAAAAAGAAAAAAACAACAGCATGACCATAAACCATGCCTCTATGACACTGAGTTTATTTGGCTCATTAAGTGCAAAGAAATCTGCTTTTGGACATTCTAACTTCTGATTAAAAAAATTATTTTAAGGGATCTTGAATGTGAATATTGAATCATATGGTAGGTAGAATTGTCTTAGGAGGATTTTGGGAAAAGGCTAACATGCCAGTAGAACTAACATACCAGAGTTTATAAAATTTTAACATTTTACAGTCGAAAGAGACACTTGAAACCATCTAGTCCAAATTCTACCTCAATAAGAATACCTCTACATTGTGTTAAAAATGGTCATCCAGACTTTGCTTGAAGACTTCTAATGAGGAGGAACCTTCTATCCCCTAAGGCTTGGCCCCTTCCATTTCTGGATAGCTTAGTATTAGAATGTTTTTCCTTATCGTCAAGCGTAAATTTTCTTTTTTTTGTTTGTTTGTTTGGTTTTTTTCCTGCACATTCTAACCCTTAATGCTATCCTTGGTAACTAGAAAAAAAAAAAGACTTTTCCTCTTCCATGTGATACCCTTAGCAAGTAATCTGTAAACCAGAAAGTTAAGAATATTTCAGTTTAATTTAGAGTACAGAAGAAAAATAGATAATTCCATCATAGTTCTGGTTGAATTCTAGGCAGTTTTCCTAGCTTTATTCTTAATCTAATATTCCATGAATTTCTACTTGAAATTGTGTAGAGAACATCTTTGTTTTGACGAAAATATTCTGACTTTTATTTTTCCATTAGATGAAATAGTTGGCGCTAACAAAAGTAACACCGTTTGCCCTGGTAAGTGTGAAGTTTATCTTTTTAAAACAGATTTAAAGCAATAAATATGCTTGTGTTGTGAACAACATATTTATATTAAATGGTCTTTTTTTTTTCCAGTATTCAAAATAAGGTCTAGAAATTGGCTTTTTTTCTTTACTACCAAGAATTAAAATTTCCTTCTGTAGAAAAGAAGGCGGCAAATGCATTTGAGATTTCAATTATCTTTATTTTTTGAGATTTTTATACTTACATTGTTTATTTGTGAAAAGGGTTTGTCTGGTTTTTGATGTTTAGATTGTTGTTCATTTTGGGTTTTTGTTTTTAATTAGGCAACTGGGGTTAAGTGACTTGCCCGCGGTCACGCAGGTAGTAAGTGTCAAGTGTTTGATGTGAGGCCGGATTTGAACTCAGGTCCTCCTGACTTCAGGGCCGATGCTCTATCCACTGCGCCACCTAGCTACGCCTGTTGTTCATTTTGAAAGTTTATGTATAGACCTGCTTTTCTTAGGGACCTGATAACTTCTATTTGTCCTTTTTCCATGGTAGATTTTTTAATTAGATATTCTAGGTATATGTAAATCAAGACTCTTTCTACTTGGAGTATGCAAAACAAAAAACAAGTGCATATTGTGTCAGTGTACTACCAGTACTTATTTCTCAAGAAGACTATTAAAGAGCCCGTATAATTCATTCTGTAACTTCAAGGCAATCCAGTCATCTTTAACAGGGAGACTTTTTCAGTATTTGGGCAGAGAGAGCAATAATATCTACTTTTGTGTCTCTCTGATTTGGGCTGAGCATGGTGTTTAATTAACAGTTTAGACATCTTACTGAAATAGGATCTTAATAAGATTTGCTGATAGTGAAAATTGTAGAGATTGTGTTCCACTGACACTGTTCCCCACATAAAACTGAAATTAAGTGTGAGGTAAAGATGAAATTTATATTTAAAATTTTAGGCATGAAAACACCTTTTTGTTCTCACTAAACAATGTGAATCAAGCAATATAAAGAAATATGTTTCACTATTTTAAAAATCCATGTATATGTCTGGAGAGATAGAAAGGACTTATGAATAATAATGGTGTTAGTAGCTAATCATTTCATTATTTTGATCAATCATAGTTACCTAAGCAGGTGAAATTTTTTTGAAGTACCTCTTGTTGAAAGATACACGAAACAACAATCAACATAAGTCATAACAGTCAGTGCTCATAGCTTTTCAGCAGTAATGTTTCTTTGCATGTATTCATTCTGCACATTGGGAAACAAGCAAAAACTAATTGTTTCCATTTCCAACTCAACATAAAGTTTTCAATATAAATTCATTCTGCTTTTCTTTAGATGGTCCTACCTAATGGGTAGTATCAAAAATACCTTAATTTTCTAGTCATACTTGTATTTTTTGTTTTAGTATGGGTGTGAAGAATAAGAAAAAAGCAAGTTTGCCTGGACCATAGAATACAGGAAGGGAGAACAGTTTATATAATAAAGCTGTAAAGAAAGGTTTATACCAAGGGTTTTGAGGATTTTAAATGATAGAGATTCTAGGAGAAGAGAATAACTGGAGTTTGTTCAGTGGCAAATAAGAGAGGGGGAATGTGACCAGACTTTAAGAAAATCATTTTGGCAAGATATATGGCAGATGGATTGGGATGGGAAAAGATTTGAGAAAGGAAGACTAGTTAGAAAGAGTTTGCAAAAGACCTGAACCAGAATTGTGTTTGAGTGGAAAGGAAGGAGATAAAAACAACAGATGTTGTGAAGGCCAAAAATTACGCAATCTGGCAGTTGCATGGATATATGGAGTGAAGGGAAAGTGTTGAATTGAAGATAGCATGGAGGTGGTTGTGAGTTTGAGTGACTAGAAGGTTATTGGTACCCTGGATAAAAATAAGAAGATATAGAAGAAGGGTGGGTTTGAGGGTAAAGAATGTAATGATATCTACAATCTGGCTTCAGTCCATCCATGCCTGATCATCTGTATCACTGTCTCTCATAAAAGGAAACTGATTAACTGTTAACAGTTAACCAGTCACTATCCTGGCTTGTAAGTGTCTGCCTTCCCATGATCACCTATTGGAACCTCTCAGAGATCTGGCAAGGGAATTTTCCCACTGCATCTGCACATCTGCTGTTGAAGGAACGCACATATCTGTTAGTTGGTAATTTCCCTGAGTGGCCAACCATCAACATACATGGGAAGAAGTTGAAATGTATGATCATTAGTGAAAGTTAGTTATTGTGGTGTTGGATATAAGCCCCGTGATTAGCTGTCTCAGGAAGAGTGATAGGCATCCCATCTCCACATTGCAATTAGTCACGTACCCCCTTAGGATCATTCCGTGGTGCCCACTTTAGAGACCACTGCTGTAGAATGTAGTTTAGCTGATGTAGAAACTTAATTCACTAAAAGATAGTTTATTTGGGATGTCATTTTGCTTATTTTTGGGTGTCAACTCCTTATTGGCCATTTTGTTTTATCCTTTAAAGTACAAAGATCACTTTCCTTTGTGGGGGGAAAAAAAAAGACAAAATTATTTAAAGCAACTCTTCCTTCTCTATCATCAGTTATTGTCCCTTCTCCCACGAACAATGGTCCTTTCCCTTTTTTAATATTCTGGATTGTTCTTAGTGTAACCTTTTTATTATCCTTACCTTATCTTACCAGCTTCAGTTTGCTAGCCTCAGCTTATCTGTAGGCATTAGCATTCTTGACACAATTCTTTTTCTTTCTTTCTTTCTTTTTTAGTTTATTTTTATTTTTCAACATTCACTTCCATAAGATTTTGAATTCTAAATTTTCTCCCCATCTCTCCCCTCCCCCTGTCCCAAGATGGTGTATAATTTGATATATAGGCTTTACGTTATAGATTCATATTTTCACATTATCTTGACACAATTTTTAAAGGATTTTGTATTCATCCTCAATTACTAATCTTTGTTACTATCATCTAACTACATCCTTTTAAAATTAAGTTGATGAATTGATTCGTTCCTTATGTATCCGCATCTGTCTCTTGAGCCAATTCTACCTTCTTATCTTTAGAATTCTTTCTCTTAGTTATCAGAATTTCCTTCTTGAGAGGCTACTTCCTTTGAAGAATTTTATACCATGACCTCCTAGCTCTCCCTTCTCTGAACCTTTTATAATCTGTGATTCTAAAATATTCCTATCAGATTATTCCTTTTCTACCACACATTCTAAGATAAGGTTTCTATCCTCCCTCCCCTTTTCCTTCTCTCCCCCGACCCCTTTTCTTGGTTAAAATCAAATTCAACATAGCTTTTCCTTTTGGTTCTTTTTTTTTTTAATTTTCCCCCAGTTACATGTAAAAACAATTTTTAACATTTATTGTTAAATCATTAAATTCCTAATTCTCTCCCTTCCTCCCTCCCCACCACCACCCATTGAGAAAGCAAGCAGTTTGATATAGATTATACATGTGTAGCCATGCAAAACGTATCTGTAATGTTGTGAAATGTCATATCATGTTGTGAAATAAAACATAAAAAACCTCAAGAAAAAGAAAGTTTTAAAAAAGAGTATGTTTAGTACATTTCAGAAGTCAGTTCTTTCTCTGGGGATGAATAGCATTTTCATCATAAGTCCCTCAGAGTTGTCTTGGATCATTTGCTGAGAATAGCTTAAGTCATTCACAGCTAATCTTACAATATTGATGTTACTTTGTACACAGTACATTTTGCTCATGCAAATTTTTCCAGGTTTTTCTGAGAGCATCCTGTTCCATCAGGATCATCATATTTCTTATTGTACAATAGTATTCCATTATAATCACATACCATAACTTATTCACCCATTTTCCAGTTGATGGGCATCCCCCTCAATTTCTGATTCTTAGCCCTCAGAAATGAGCTGCTATAAATATTTTTGTACATAAAGGTCTTTTTCCTTTTTTTTTTTTAACATCTCTTTTGGGATACAGACCTAGTAATGGTATTTTGGTTCTTTCTTTATCAAGGATGAAATTATCATTAAGACAAGTCAGTAAATGATTAGCTTTTCTGCTTTTGTCGGAAAGAAAGAGCTCTAGCAGATGCACAGGTAAATAAAAGTCTCCCATTCCTACCATATTGTGCTTGTGTACCAGGTTTGTGTCCTGAGGTACTTGAAGAACATAGTACCCAGAAGAAGCCCTGGCCAGTCCTCAGATAATACAGCTCAGTTCCAAACAAAGCCTCATAACTCCTGCCAGAATTGCTCCAAGCTGGGCTGTGTCTCAAATTCCCATAGAAATGCATAAGATATTTCTCATATATTCCCCCTTCACACAGCTGCCACCGAAGTTTAAGCCCTTATACTTTCTTACCTGGACTGTTAAAATAGCCTCCTATTTGATCTTCCCTTGGAGTCACTTCCCACTCCAGTCTATCATCCACAGACATCAAAATGATTTTCCTAAATCACTCAGATGTGAGCGTGTCTGTTCTTCTTACCCCCACCCTTACAGTAAGCTCCATTGCACACTTCATGTTTTCCATGCTACTTCTACTATTCTGGTAAACTAGACTATCCCTGCCTGAGGCCTACATTTCTGATAGGTCAGCTTTGCTCTTGTTTCTTGCTTACTTGTGTTTGTAGTCCTAGCATATAGTAAGCACTTAATTGCTTGATCTGTCAAGATAACTTTATATGCTTCACATTTACTTAATTTTGTATATTGTATCCCTCAGCAGATTATACAATCATAGATTGAGAGCTGGAAGGGACCTTACAGGTCCTCAGATTAAGCCCCTCTGTGTTACAGATGAGGAATCTGAGGCCCAGAGAAGTTGTGACTTGACTAATGTCACACAGCCAGTACACGTGTGAGGCCAACCCTGGTCTTCCAGACTCGTATATCCACTATACTATATAAATGCCTCAGGGATAGAGACTGCTTGCTTTCTTAGCATAGTGCCCTGAGTATAATGTAGTAAGTACTTAATGTATGTTTGAGTGAAATTAAATTAAAGACATAGAAGATACTGAAACTGATCTTTAAAGCAGAAAAAGAGGGGCAGCTAGGTGGTACAGTGGATAAAGCACTGGCCCTGGAGTCAGGAGGACCTGAGTTCAAATCCGGCCTCAGACACATGATACTCACTAGCTGTGTGATCCTGGGCAAGTCACTTAACCCTGATTGCCTTGCAAAATGAATGAATGAATTAATGAATAGAGTAGAGTAGAAAGGGCTGGGGGGGGGGGTCTGCTATCAGGTTTAATTTATTTAATGACCAGTATGCATACTGAGGAAAATTAACTTGATTCCTTATGATACTTAAGGATTCCTAAAATGGTTACTGTCATAGTATAGTTTAAAATCAGTAATTTTTCTGTCTACAGTTCTGCATAATGTCAGTGTGTGGCCATTATAACAAATTCAAGCAGTATTTCTAGGTGATTCAGGTAGTATATAAACCAGTGGGTGGAGAAAAAAGGTCAATCCTTTCAATAGGCTTTAATTATATATGTTGATATTTTATAAAATGGAATTATTTAATTTACATTTTATTAAAATATTCTTCTTTTGAAGATGTTTTGAGGGTAATAATCCTATTTCTTACTTGAGGAATTTGTGTGTTTTATCAGTTCAAGCAAAATATTTGACAGTTTTTGTTGTGTCCTTCAATAGATCAACCGTGTTTGACTTCCAGGCTTTCTTGAGTCATAAACGTGGCAGTGTTAGTTATTTGAGTATTTTTCTGTGTTGTTTTTCTTTTTCCTAAAACATAATTTACTCGTTGGAGTTACTTTTAAAATGCTTTAAGTCATAATTTTAGAAATTTGGACCTTCTAGAAAACAGATTTTTTAAAAAGTAACATTGAGTGAACCACTGAATGTTTCCATTTCCTTACCTACTCATAGAATGTCAGATCTAGAGTGCCCTAGAAGTAATTTAACCCAGTCCCCTCAATTCCTTGATTCAAGGAAACTGAGGCCCTGAGTAGTGAAATTATTTGTCTTAGATGCCGTAACTAATTAGTGGCCAGTTAGCTAGACTTTTTAACGCAGTGTTCTTTCCGTACTACTGCACCAATATCTGTTTTTAAACAGAGAAGATAATGTATTTGAACATGAAGTCTTCACCTATAAATGTCTGGATATCTAGAAACATCAGCATATTTAATTTGGAGTTTTTAATGTTTCTGATATAAAAATGGAAACAATATTACAAGTGATTCTGTTGAGAAAAGAGACAAAGAATAGCAGTAGAAGTGTCTGTCTACTGATAAAATATGTGGTATAGTGTCAAAAGCACTGGACATGAGTGGGAGTGCTATAGAAATGTGGGCTATATTTCATAATAACAATACCATAATGTCTTTAATTTGGGGCAGCTAGATGGTGCAGTGAATAGAGTACTGGCCTTGAAGTCAGGAGGACCTGAGTTCAAATCGGCCTCAGACCAAACACTTGACACTTACTAGCTGTGTGACCCTGGGCAAGTCACTTAACCCCAATTGCCTTTAAAAAAAAAATTGTATATTACATAATGTCTTTAATTTGTATAAAAATTGAAGTGTCCTCAAAAAGTAGATTGCATGATTTTTTTTACATAAGTAAACAACAAGAATTTTGTATTTTTATGTGTCTAATTTTATCTTCCTTTTTTAATAGATAACTACCAAACAGCACAGCTGCTTGCCTTAATTTTGGAATTACTCACATTTTGTGTGGAACACCACACATATCACATAAAAAATTATATTATGAACAAAGATTTGCTAAGACGTGTTCTTGTCTTAATGAATTCAAAACATACGTTCCTGGCATTATGTAAGTAATTATTCAAATAGAGCTTTTATAAAATGATTTAAAGGCCAATTTTTTTTTAGTAAGAAATTGCCATTTATTCACTCAGTTGAATTGATGGCACTATGCATTGCAAAGCCATAACTTTAAAAAAAATGATGGTGGGAAGGATGTGACATACAGTGTAATGGTTTCCCTTCATACTACTTTGGAAAAGAAGTTTTAACCAGTTTTAATGTTTTTAAGAGAGAGCGTCATGATAAAATCTCACTCATACTTTTTGCTCGAATCCTCCTTAATCAGTTTAGTCACTTACTTTGTAACCTGAGGCTTTGAAGTTTTGTGTGACTTACTTTAGTTCATTCATGTATTGAACTGTGTTCGGAAGTCAGTGGATAAAGCACTAGAAAGTAATTATTAGATGTAGAATCTCTTACAATTCCTAACATATGTTATCTGTTTCCCTTGTCTTTAACTCATTTAAAATTGTTATATTATGTATTGAGATGGGAAGGAGCAGAGTATATTAGTATTTAGTCCTAGAAAGGTTGGATTGATGGGAAAGGAGCGAATGTGTAGATAAGACTTTTTTCCTTTCCTTTCCTCTTCGATTTCATTCTTCGTGGGTTAAAAATATCCACACAAATAGAGGTGAGATATACTTCCTAGAGATAAAATTTCATCATGAGATGATTTCTTTGAAAGTCTTGTTTTATGAAGGACTAATTGGATAGTGTCTCTAAAGCACATTAAACAACCCTTTGGAGACAGGTAGTATATAAAAATATGATTAGCAAATATAAGGAATTAGAATTATGTGGTTTGTAACAACAGGAATTTGTCAGGTTTTTTTGGTGTTTTTGTTTGTTTTGCTCTGGTAGGCTGGAGGAGATATAGACACAGTGGGTTATTTTTAAGCTTCAAAAATGTGAAATAAAGGCCAGTTGTGTTTAAAAGCTTGATAACTGGTTCTTTTATTGTCATAAAAGAACTTCACCTTACTCTAAATTATTTTTAATAGGTGCTCTTCGTTTCATGAGGAGAATAATTGGTCTTAAAGATGAATTTTACAACCGTTATATCACCAAGGGAAATCTTTTTGAGCCAGTTATAAATGCCCTTCTGGATAATGGAACCCGATACAACCTGCTAAACTCAGCTGTCATTGAATTGTTTGAATTCATAAGAGTGGTAAGTTGAAATGCTGTTGAAAGAGTTCTTAGAATTTATTCAGATGTAGTTATTAGTTTCTGAAATGACACCACTTCTTTTGTAGAGTATATATCAATAAAGTTAAATTCCCTGTATTTCCCATTTTCTCACCATTTGTTTTATGTTTATTCCATGTGTCTGGATTTCTATTTCTTTATCTAGTTACCTTTTATTATCACTAACTTTTCCCCTTTGGACTAAATAATACCATTATATTTATTAAAATTAAAAATATAGAAGCAAAACTTAAAAGTAAGAAATGTCAGTAACATTAAAAACTTGGAATTGACATACCACTTTTGTAATGCAGATTAAATAAACATAAGTTCAGTTAAGTGTAACTTACTTTAGTTTTTTAGTTGAAAAATGTTCTGACTTATTTAATATATTGTCATTCCATTTTGAATTTCAAAACATATAAAATGGAATTCAGGAGGAGTTGTTACTGTGAAGTAGTCACTCTCCAAAAGCTACACTATTAGAGAACTCTAGGACCAATTCCTGGAATGGAGTCCTAGGTAAATAGTTCATCAGTCATATATTATATAAATTCTGAGGAATCTGCTTATTTTTGATGTAATCTTGGCCCATTTCTAAAACAGTGAAATGAGAAGTCATTTTAAAGTTTTCTACAGATAGTATTTGCATATGTAAAAAAACTACTTAGGGAATTTTTTGGAAGGTGATTAAAAAAACTTGGGGGATAGCTTTGTAATGATAAACATTTTTATTTTTCTGGATAATACTGTGATATGAGAAAAATTATGTGGAATGTAAATTTTTTTTTGTGCTTATACAGGAAGATATCAAGTCTCTTACTGCACATATAGTTGAAAATTTTTATAAGGCCCTTGAATCAATTGAATATGTTCAGACATTCAAAGGATTGAAGACAAAATATGAACAAGAAAAAGACAGACAAAGTCAGAAACTGAACAGGTATTTGTGTTTTGGAATTCAAGCCTGTGATGAAGTCAAATTCATATTTTTTGATCCATATATTTTGATATTACAGGCATATACTACATCACATCATTATTTGGTTCACAACTTCAAGTGAAAGAATACTGTGGGAAAGCAGTTAGTACTCCAAGAAAAAGACTATAAATAAAAAATATGTTATTGACTAAGGCAGGGGAGAGGGTGGGCCAAGGCAGTTATGTAGGAGAATGGTATTAGAAAGGTCCGAGTCTAAGTAAGCCAGGAATCCAGAACTCTGCACTGTACAGAATTGGCTGAGATCCTGAGTTGGAAACTGAGTTGAATATGGAGTTGAAGCTAGGTATGTTTTTCTGCTCAACAGAGGCAGTGGAGATAATGATAGCAGGTGATCGAAGGGGTTAGGGTCTGTAGGAGATACATCTATTTTGTTGGTCTACCATTTGAAAGGACTACAGTGAGATTTTTGCAGTATTAAAGTGGGGGTTTAATTATGACATGTTAATAGCTTCTGACATTGATAGTTTAGGGCAACTTTATGTGTATTTTTTGTGGAGCTAGAATTTCCCTGGGGATTTCTCTTTTACACTAAATAGTCATAAATAACAATTCAGTAGAAGTAGTAGTACTCTTTTTTCTTCTTTCTCCTAGAAGAAAAGATAAAAAGGATGGCTTTTCTTTAAACCGCCCCTTATCTTTTAATTCAGTATAGATTTTAGCTGACCTTAAAAATACCCTAAACTATTTCCATACTGATCCATTTGTATTCTCATCATTATGTTATGATTTATTCTATGCAAAATCAACTCCTCATGGTTCCACATTTATTATTTCTTTTACATTTTAAAAACTGGTTACAGAACTTGAGTCACCCATGATATATTTATTACAGTGTACCATCTATATTGCGTAGCAACAGATTTCGAAGAGATGCAAGAACCTTGGAGGAAGATGAAGAAATGTGGTTCAATGAAGATGAAGAGGAAGAAGGTGAAGCAGTTGTGCCTCCAGGTGAAAAGTCAAAGCCAGAGGATGATTTTCCAGATAGCTATGAAAAGTTTATGGAAACGAAAAAAGGTATTCACTTTGGATTATTTTCTTTGCTGTGTCTTTTTAATTATTTATACAGAAATCATGAGACAGCTGTTTTGTTGGGTTTTTTTGTTTTGTTTTGTTTTTGGTTAGGCAATGGGGTTAAATGACTTGCCCAGGGTCGCACAGTTAGTAAGTGTTATGTGTCCAAACCTGTATTTGAACTCGGGTCCTCCTGACTCCAGGCCTGGTGCTTTATCCACTGTGCCACCTAGTTTCCCCTGGCTGTTATATTTTTACAAAAAGCATGAGACATTCTACACTGAATGTTTCATAGTAATACTTCTTCGAATTAGTGAATAAACTTGAACTATACAATTTTTAAAGAAGTATATGTTGATTTATTTATTTCAGAAGGCAGACTTTCAGTTTTGCGTTCAACCACGGTTAATACCTTTGTCTTGATATTTGATACTCAGCATTGTCAGACTCTCTATTACGTGATATAAACGGCCTTAAATTTTCTTCTGCCCTGTAAACACCATTTAAAATTTGTATTATAGAGTCTTAGAACTGGAAGGGACCTTAGAAAGACATTTTACAGACTGTGAATCAGGCAGAATTTAAACGTATAATCCTAAAGATCTTTAAAAGTTAGGTTCCTGTAGAGAAAATTGAATCTGTCCCCTCAACTCAGTTTCAACCAGGGTCTGTTAAGTACCTATTATGTTCAAGGAACTGTACTCTGGGTAGTCAGGATTCAAAGATGAAACAGAACATAATTCCTGCCTTGAAGAAGTTCACAACCGAGATGAGGGGTAAGACAAACATACAAATAACTATGCTATAATTTATATTGTGATATGAACCAGTGAGAGGTCTGGAGCAGTATAGAGGGGGGGAAATTAGCTTGCCAAGAAAAGTTAAAAGTAAATTTTCCCCTTGTAACATTTCTACTTGTTTTGTGCAGCTTCAAGGTCCTTTGTAGAAGGCATACCTTTTTTATAGATTTATTTATACCTGACGTGCTGTGATTGGGAATTTTGACACTTCTTTTAAGGGTATTTTTACTATCTGTTTTCCATTGCTTATATCTTAATGGAATATAATAGGGAGAAAATTGGATTTGGGAGCAGGGGAGACCTGAGTTTTAGTCCCAGCTCTGACTTGAGCAAGTCATTTCCCTTTTAAGCCTTCTCAGTTTGGTCCTACTTTTACTCAGTCTTCATTCACTGTTAAAAATTCTTATCTCATCAGAGTCCAAAGGAAATAAACTGAAATAAATATTCAGATGATAGTTTTGGTTCCTTGATTTGCTCTGAACATATTCACCACAAACACTGGTCTGCCACTGCCAAAAGACCTTGCCATTACTGTCAGAATCAGGCTTTAAGTGTCATGATCATCTTAGGCTTTAAAAAACAAATTAGGATATTTTCATTTGTGATCACATATTGATGTATATTCATATTTTATCTTTGGTTTAGCAAAAGAAAGTGAAGACAAAGAAAATCTTCCCAAAAGGACATCCTCTGGTGGCTTCAAATTTACTTTCTCTCATTCTGCCAGTGCTGCTAATGGAGCAAATAGTACGAACAGTAAATCTGTAGCTGCTCAAACAACACCAGCAAGTTCTAATGGATCTTCTTCCAAAAATACAAGCTTAACTACATCAGTAACAGCCACTAAAGTGAGTAAATTGATCATGGGTTTGTTTTGTTGTTTTTTTGAACATTCCCATTCTCTTTTGGTTGGAAGCAGTGATGTCTTGAGATTCTTGGTGTAAGTATTTAGGTAATATATTTTAAATTGACTAAAGCTTCTGTTATCTGTTATATCCGTCCATCTAAATAGCTATGTTTATATTTTAAACAGCATTTTTTCTGCCTTTGTTGTAGTCTGTATTTATTATATGCTACCACCAACAGAGTATGTTGAACGTGATTTTTTTTGTAACATGATTTTTGATGACCACAGAGACCTTATTATAAATGCTGTCTTAGGCTGACATGCAGAAATTTTTATTATGCTGACTGGCCCGCTTTACTGTGCTTCCTGAATTCTTGTGTTGATTTTTTTTCCTTTGCAGTTTATCTGTCTTTTTATATTATTGTCTATGTCCCCTCTTAATTTTCTGTAAAGCCGCTATGGAACCTGTTTATAATTTGTTTTAAAATAAGAGTAAATTACTCTTGAGTCAAGGTCTAGGGGTAAAGTACAAGTGCTTTGCTGTATAGATGCCAATATCTAGTTGGTTAAATTGAACTCAAATTTAATTTTTTTGCTTATGAATTGACAAAGTTACCAGGTAGCTAAGTTTTGGACAGATAGTTTAAATTGGTCTTAGTATAAATTGTTTTGAATAGTAATCCTTTTATTTCTACCTTAAGTCTTTAGGCTTTGGACTAAGACATTTATAGTTGATGACATTTTCAGTCATAGCTGACAGTGAGTTCCTAATAGGAGTGGAAATTTTAAGTTTGAGCTCAGACTTAACATGTTAGCCTCATCCAGGCAATAAACTAGCCAGAAAATTGGGGAGGGAAGGTACAGAATGTGATTACTTTTGTTTCTGTTAAATTATTTTCCCTTCCACTTACTTCACACTTCTTTCAGTAGTCAGACTTTCTTATTCACCTCCACCCCTTTAAAAAAAGACACATAGATAAATAAAACTGAATTTTGGTTTCAGGTTTCTGAGTGTAACATAAATACCATCTTGTTACAAGCCTGATGTTTTTCATAATCTTTCACCATCTGCTAGATTTTAAAACATACAAATAGAGCCAGAAAACAGCCACTTCTCTTGTGACAGGAAGATTATTATTGCTTATTTTTCTGGTGGTATTGATGTAAAAGCTCTTAACAGATTTACATTAGCTCATTGAGATGATTTCAATTTAGTATTCATTCATTCAACGTACATTAAGTGCCTGCATGAGACACTGAAGATATAGAGACAAAAGCAGAATAGTCCTTGTTCTCAATGAGGTTACATTCTGATGAGATAGACAACAAACATATATGTATATAGGTATATGCAGAAAATATTCAGCATAGATGCCAGGTAATTTGCAGGGTGAGGCTGAGGGAGTCTGGGAGGGAATGGGAAAGGCCATGGTGAGATGGTGGTGCTTGGGCTGAATTTTGAAAGGAGCCAGGAGGTTGAAGTGAAAATGGAGAAAGAAAGCATTCTAGGCATCAATTATAGCCATTTCGAAAGCATAGAAAATAGGGGTAGTGCCAGTTTTAAAAAGTTTTTTTAATACTTTTAAGAAGCTTGAAAGTAGGTAAATTCAGTTTAGTATTTATATTGTTGCTAAGAGGGAGCATAACAATGGATCCAGGGTCCCTGACCTTGGAGTCTGAAAGACCTGCTTCAAAGACATAACTCTAAAAATGAACAGATTACTTAATATCTTATTAACCCGGCAATTCTATGACACTGTAAGTTACAGATCTGCAACAGTGGCAGGAAGTTCCACTTTGGGAGTTCCCAACACAGAAAAAAATTGGAAAAGAAAAGTTTTTTAGTGTGGAGTAAATGGATTAAATATTTGAGAGCAGTAGATAAATTTTATAACTCTGAATCCAGTACCTATACTGAACACAAGGATTAAACAGTCATTTCAATTAAATAGGTCTTTTTTTTTTCTGGGGATAGGGTCCTAATTTTTGTGAATTAACAGAAATTCAGGGGTTTGGAGCCCTAAAGAAACTTGACGACCTATGACAGTTCATATTTAGTGCATTTCCAGCAATCTTTAGATAATTTGGTGGGTGAGAAATATAGGTCTATAACATTAAGCCCTGTTAGCTATTTAAATGAGGGGTTATACATAGATGATCTTTTATTCCCTTTCAGCTATAAAATTTATTTCTGTGGCTCTACAAGGAGAGTTAAAGAGTGGGAAACTCAATGGTGATCAAGTCAGGACACCTAGTTTCTATTTGAGGCTCTGCCATTATCTTGTGTCACCTAGCCACTTTGGGCTTAAGGCTTCTCATGTGTAAAATGAGGCAATTATATATTAGCCTAATCCTTTCCAGCTCTTAAACTTATAATTCTACACCAGGTCTTTACTAATTGGCTGTTGTTTCTTTTCCTGTTGTTTGAGTTACCTACGTTACCATTCCCAGTCCAATTCCTTGTTGCTGAAATAAGAAACTCTGTAAGGTATAGTTTATAAGTTGGGTGACCCTTCCACAGTACAGGGATTTATTCTGCAGCTGTGAGTCCAGGTAGACACAGAAAGTATTTTTCTAGTCTTGAGTTAGAAGTGAAAAAATAAGTTATCGTTAAACATCCAAGTTTTAAAAAAATCTTTAATTAGCAAATACATTTTTGCATTATACAATCTTGACATTGCCTAGAAAATTGCCATTTGGCCTTCAGTTAACTAATTTATAAGAATGCAGTCTCATAACATTTAGATTTCTTTACTTTTTGTGCAGATGCCATAAACTGTGCTTCTTTGACTAGTTAGCTAAAAATTATATATTAAGTGTACAGAAATGTTTTAATACTCATAGAGTTGCTCCCCTCTTTCTGGAAAAAAACATCAAATATATTTCAGTGTTGTAAGTTAAGTTTTTTATTTTTCAACAGGGAAGTCTGGTTGGCCTAGTAGATTATCCAGATGATGAAGAAGAGGAGGAAGAAGAGGAGACATCTCCAAGAAAAAGACCTCGCCTTGGCTCATAAAAACTTTGGGGGGGAGGGGAACCTCACAGTGGGGTATTAGTAAATGCTGCAACTGTTCAGTGAGCTTAAAAGTCTGAATCAGAAAGCTTTCTCCCTTGAACATATAAGATAACATACAAGGAGTAGCAAAAGACACTCAGTGTATCAACTAGAAGAGTTTAGTTCTGTAAACACCAGGCTTCCAAGGAACTTTTCTCTTTCTAGTAATTAAGGAGTTTGCCTTTCAGGCTGTCAAAAAATGGTGGGTTAGTAGTAATCAGAACCTGGGTGACAGCTTCTCAGCAAGGAAAGTCTCAGGTTTGGGGAGGGATGAGGGAGGGGAGCAGGTCAGTAAAATTTTAATATTGCAGGGTTGCCCCGGTTATATATCAGAACTAGAAAATGATTGTGAAACTTCAGTTGCAAACCCAATAATGTTACTTTTTGTAATGGTGCTGGCCATAGTGTTCTTTTATCAGTTGCCTCTTTTAAAACAATTTTTAGGGAAAGCAGATTTAGCTAGCATAAAAAATGAAGTTAAACTGTTGGGACCATTTCTTTCAAAATTTAACAGAAGTTCAGCCTTTCAGGCCATTGGAGGAAGGCACACCCTGTGTTACCATGCATGTTTGAATTTTTTTACACACCAGGAATTTCCAGTATGTATTTTGAAGAAAAGCAAGCTGGCTTAAAAGTGGACAATTCTACTAATCTAACATTTAAACCAGTACTTCCAGAGATACTGATGATAGGAATCAGTAGTTTCCCAAAAGAATGTTCTCCAGGAACTTGCTTGTGGCTATAGCAGAGTCCTTTCAGCTGCACCAAAGTACAAGCATTTGTGGAAGATACAGTGTCAAGTCACTTTCTGCTGTTAGTAAAGCTGTCTCTCTTTGCTAAGCAGCTGTCATACTACCACATTCACAACTTGCAAAATGTGTCAGTTGATAAGCACTAACACATATACACACACAGGTTTTAAATAGTGCTGAATGAACGAAGTGGCATTTGACATTAAGAAGCCATTTTGGACCAAGAAGTTACTAGAAAAGAGAAATCCGCATGCAGCACATAAACCTTTTCCTTAAGCAGGGGTGTAATATGAAAGCTGCTTTGTTTGTTTGTTTGTTTTTGAAGAATAAAAGCACATTCCATGTACACAAATGAATTGCAAAAATAATTGAGGCAAACAGTTGAAGTTTTATTTTCAAGGAGCAGCAAGTAATCTGTAAATATTTTAATGTTAGTTTGCCCATCTATGATCTGAGATCATGCTAAAGTGAGAAAAACGTCCCCAAACTATAATTAATGTGTTAGAAATGATAAAAGCTCAAAACTATGAAACCAGCTGCAATCCACCACATAGCGATCGCCCTTGTAATGTGTTATGGGTCCATTTTTCCTGGAATAGTTTAAACTAAAGCAGTTTCCCTGTTTTGGAGATTTTGTAGTTAATTTTAATTTTAGCTATTGTTTGGAAAAGATGGGCTGTCTGTGTAGATATGAAGTATAGTTTTTTCCATAAAACAGAATTTATTTTGTATTAAAAATACCACTGTACTTGTTTTACACCATTTGTATACATGTGGTGATATTAATGCTGAAATGTAAAATTCAGGAATTAAAATGTGACCCTGTAATTCCATAATTATTGCTTTTGTTTGGTTTGTTGTAAATGTTAAGTTCACTCAGTTTTGAGATTGGCCATTTTAGAGTATCATTAATAAGCCAATAAAGTCATTCAGACTTCAATATTATAAATCATTAGGTCAGACAATGTAGGAGTTCTAAACTAGTGAGAGAGTCTATTGTATTTTCAGCATTTTGAGTACACTTAAGAGTGGGTGGGCCATGGGGAAAATAAAATCTTACGTCCCCATTGGGCTCCAGGCATCCTAGAATGGGGCTTCCCTCTCACACAACGAAGGGTGTATAGCATAAAAGGTATCTTCCATGTATCAGTAAAGTGACTCAGGATGTATTAGACTTGAAAAAGATCAAGTGTACCCTATATCATTAAGAAGTTCCCCCTTAAACCCTGGCCTAATAAGCCCCTTCTTTGCTTCTCAAAGCTAAAACATTTCCTCATGAAATTCAAGGGAAAACAAGTATGATGCATGCCTTCCTTTTTGAGGCTGAATATGTGATCCTATCCAATGTGGATAAAATTCTGATACTAAGTACTAACTTTACATCTCAATTTTTTTCCCCTAAAGAACTGCCATGAACTTTAAAGAACATTTGCATCACCACAGGCGCCTTTACAGCAAGAATGTGAATGTTTCATGAATTGCTGTTTTACAGTTTTAGTGTTAGAAAAATATAATTACATCATGAGATTCAATGACTTTTAAAATCCTAAATCCCTTGGAAGCGGAGATACTAAGCTTCCACTCAGTTACCATGTCTAAAGCCACCATCTTCAAGCAGACTTAAATTTCTACCCCTGCCATTTGTACCCTGACTCAGTGGAACAAGTGAAAGCCCACATTTGAATGCCTGGGGCCCTTGTAGATTTTTAAAGTTACATCTGCCAACATGTATCAGTTATAAATACTATTTTAATAAAAAGTTACATGAAATTAATTTGTGTGTTTTAATCACTAGTTTTTACCTAATCTAATAATAGCTAGTGATGAAAAATAATAGGCATGTTATGGAATGATGTGGGTAAATTAAAGTATCTGAGCACTAATTTGGCACCCACTGTACATAAATTGAGTTTTAATGCCCATAGCAGGAAAGGTATACCTATATGAAGTCAATTCCCAATTATACGACTTCCAGATAATCCTCAAGGGGGTATTACAAGAGCTGAAGATGTTTATGTTCTCTATTCTACCTGCCCACAGTAGTTCTGCTAGCTCCATGCAAATTACCTGCAAAGAGTTCTAAAGATATAGGAAGCACTTTCCATTTATTCTCCACTTCACAATGATAAAAATCCTTAAACCAGGGGAGGGTAAACCATGGCCTCAAGGCCACATGTAGCCTTCTAGGTCTTCAGGTGCAGCCTTTTGAAGGAGTCCAAGTTTTACAGAACAAATCCTTTTATTAAGATTTATTCTGTGAAGTTTGGATTCAGTCAAAGGACCATACTTGAGGGCCCAGACGGCCACATGTGGCCTCGAGGTTACCTTCTCCTGGTACCTGGAACCTGTGGTTCCCCATCCCTGCCCTAAACCAACTGAATCAGCTATTAACTGTGTCATCTGTGATATTCCCTGTTCATTGTGTTTAATAGAGTGTACTGCAAATTTAAACTTGTACCACTGAATTAATCCAAACTTCTAAAAATAGAAGTACTTAAACCTTTAGTTATTTATCACTTTGTTCATTGCAAAGATAACTTTTACATAAAGTTTATACTTGGGCTTTCACTGCAATCTTAGGTAGCTATTTACTATTTTGTTCACTTTTTATAAAATAACTTGAATGAAAAATTACACTTTTTTAAGTTAAAGAAATTACTACATAGAAATAGTTTAGTATCATACAAGAGGTGTGGATAAGTTTTTTTGCCACTTTTCAGTGTGATGAAATCAAATAAGCTTAGTTTAAGGATTCAATAATTTATTTTAAAGAAATTCAAACTTGTTTTACTAAATTAACTTTCTTAAAATTATCACTTATTAATGACTTCTTCTTTAAGTTTCTCTGCAATCAGTCTCCTCTTTAGTAATGTTTGCTTCTCCTCTGCTGTCATTTCTGGCTTCTCTGCAATTTCCTAAACCAATAAACAAAAATAGAATGCAGTTTTAATTAAAGCATAGAAGAACATGTGGCTTGGGTTCTTCTCTAAAATAAGGCTGCATGAAACACTAATGTACTGTGATTAATTTTTCTGAAGTAAAGATACTAAAGTTAAGATGGCTTCTAATGTTCTATTAAAAGTAAAAGGAAAGCAAGGAAAGCAGGGAGTGGTCATGGTTGAAAGTGTTTGTTTTGTTTTTGCAGAGTAACAGCTTAAATTCATATGCTTCTTTAAAGTTACATAGGATGTACCAAAAGTCTTCATGCAGTTTTAAAACTCAAATAGCTTTAAAACTACACTAATACTTTGAATACCCTACACACACACACACACCACATAACTTGATTTTTACTTACAACTTGGTGAAATCCATACAAATATGATGCCCATTTTAAGAGATAAAACAAGTAACCTGTCTGAAGTCTAAGACTCCAAATCTGCTCTGATCTGCAAGCATTACACCATACTTCTTATATCTATTTAAGACCATCTTTTGATGTGTAATTCTATGTTGTCTTTCTGAATACATCAAAGGAAACAGGCCCACAAGAGGTTAAGTGAAAGTGGCAAAATTAAGCTTTAAACTTGGGTCAAGGTTTTGCCCTACACCAAAATAAGATTACCTCCTCAGCAGATTTTCCTTTCTGCTGCTCTATATTGTATATCTGTTTGATCCTTGGGTCCTTTTTCATAGACATCAGTTTATCTCTCTTCTGCTTTAGGTAGTCCTCTCGTTGCTGGAGCTGCTCTCTTCCAAGTGCTGATAAATTCTAGGATAAATAAAAAGAACAATTTAATTACACAAAAGAAATGAATGTTTTGTGTATTATGCAAGATGGACATCCACAAATGGCTGAATGATTCAAGTATAACTTCTGAATCCCTGCCTTGCCAATTATATAAATTCAAATTCAAGGGTTTTTTTTTCAGTATTTTTTAAAAATGCACTATCACTTTCCCAAGTTGTTACATATGTATGTGTACCCATGTATATGTAGATGGGTATATATACAAATGTATGTACATACCTATGTGTGTAGTAGGTATAGGATGTCCTATGCCTCAAAGTACAAATACATACATGTGTATGTATACATACATATATATATTGTGTGTGTGTGTGTGTGTGTGTGTATATACACACACACACATATTTGAGAAAGAAAATATTTCAGTTATATGTTAGGAAAGCTCACAGATTGGAATTAACAATTTGAGCAATAAACAGAGAAAGGCATGAGTAAAGTTAGGGCTGCAATTTATGAAGAGACAAAAAAATTGTGTCATTAAGTTACTAGCAGCTATTTGTTAGTTCTTTATTGTCAGTGATAATATAATTTCCTAAGAAATGACAGCTAGGTAGCACAATGGATAGAGTGCTGGGCTTTGAGCAAGGAAGACTTTCAAATCCAGCCTCAAACATCACTGGCTGTGTGACCCTGGGCAAGTTATTGTTTACCTCAATTTCCTCATCTGTAAAATGAAGATAATAACAGCACCTACCTCCCAGGGTTTTGTAAGGACCAAATGAGATAATTGTAAAGAGCTTAGCACAGTACCTGGCACACAATAAGCACTATATAAATGTTGGCTATTCTCATTATCATTACTTACTGATAATGGTCCTCCTTTGATCACCTGTTCCAAGCCAGCTGTGATAGTATCTTCCTTCAATTTGGGAGAAGAAGTTTCAGATAATGTTTCCAAATTTCTTCCCAAAGACTGTAGTGATCTCCCAGCAAAATGAGCTTTTACCTCTAGACAGCAGGAATTTGGTAAAAAAAACAAACCAAAACATCCTAAGAACATCACAAGAGGTAGAGTGGCATAGTAAAGAGGATGCCAACCTTGGGGTCCAGAAGACCTGGGTTCAAGTTTTGCCTCCAACAAATGCTGATTTTTGTGACCTTGGGCACATCCCTTAACCTCTCAGTGCTCTAGAAAGCTAAGACCAGGAGCTGAAGAGACAATGCTGACCTGAACTGGCACCGGGAACTGTCTCAGCTCCATGTTCACTATACCAATGAAATCACAGGTCAGAATAAAAGAAGGACCACCATGTAAATAGGCAGTAAATAAAATGGGATCATTAAAGAAATTATCCCTCTCCTCAACCCACTAGCTTTAGAAACTTTAAGGTTTCCTTATGCTATATTTTAAAATAGTTTACTAAAACCATTTTCATAATCAATAAGCAGCCCTTGTTGAGCACAATACTAATACAAGTTCCTGGGGAATTTGTTACATAGAGAAGATAAGGATATCTTATGCCTCAAAGTACCTACAGAAGTCTCAGTAATTACTACAAGAAGTTTAGGGGACACCAGACAAGGGGAATATAAAAAAGTAAAGTGCCTCTAGGAGCCTCAGACAAAAGAGGTATGACCCTTTTCCAATTTAAATTTTTATTTTATTTTTAGTTTTTGATTCTGCTTCCCAAACTCTTCTTCCCACAATGAGAAAGCAAGAAAAAGAAAACCCATTACAAATCCTCAAAACAAATTCCTGCACTAGAGGGGTTAGCATGTTTCATCGTAAGTCCTCTGGAATTGTGGTTGGTTGTGTTGATCAGAGTTCCTAAGTCTTTCAAAGTTGTTTGTCTCTACAATACCACTTATGTTGTGAACACTGTTCTGTTGGTTCTGCTCACTTCACTATGCATCAGTTCATAAGTCTTCCCAAGTTTCTCTGAAACCATTCCCTTCATCATAGCACAATAATATTCCATCATATTTACAAATAATTTGTTTAGCCCTTCTACTTATAATGGGTACCTCCTCAGTTGCCAATTTTTTGCAACTATGAAAAGAGCTACTATAAATATTTTTCTTACATAAGGGTCCTTTTCCTCTTTCTTTGATCTCTTTGGGATATAGACCTAAAGGCAGAATTGCTAGGTCAAAGGGGCATGCATAGTTTAATAGCTTTTTGGGCATTAATGTGACTTCTCCCACAGCAAGTCATTTTCCCAATCTGATGGGAGTGAAGTAGTATAGCTCAGAGTTGTTTTAATTTACATTTCTGGACAGGCAATTTTATATGAATAAGCAGTTTTATATGACTTTACACTGAATTTCTTCTGAAAATTGCCTATTCATATCCTTTGTCCACTTATCAACAGGAGAATGGCTCTTACTGGTGTAAATCTGAATCAGTTCCACATAGAGATGATCTTGAAGAAGCTAAGAAACTTCTTGTTTTTATATAAATATGTAACAGTTCCTACTGACTGGAACAAAAGTAATGTATGTCTGTCATCTGTCAAAGCTAGGTGGCACAGAAGATAGAGTGCCAGGCCTGGAATCAGCAAGACTCATCGTCCTGAATTAAAAATCTGGCCTCAGACACTTATTAGCTGTGTGACCCTGGGCAAGTCACTTAACTCTATTTTCCTCAGTTTCCTCATTTGTAAAATAAGCTGGAGAAGGAAGTGGCAAACCACTCTTAGTATCTTTGCCAAGAAAATCCCAAATGGAGTAACAGAGAGTTGGACCCAATTGAAAATGATTAAACAAAATCAAATGTCAAGATTTCAACATGAAAAGGGGCAACTTCCAGCCTCAGACACATAACACTTACTAGCTGTGTGACCCTGGGCAAGTCACTTAACCCCATTGCCTAGCCACAAAAAGGGGGGGGGGCAACTTAATCTGTCTAGGATTAAAACATTCAGAACTTCCCTCGATATTTACAGTCAACTCAGTTACTTGCTTTTAGGTTCTTAGTGGCTTTCTGCTATCCTAAGTCAATCTGCTATCCCAAGAAAATGCTGAAGCCAAAACATTTAACATTGCCACCCTAGGAAAGATATGAAGATGGTAACTGGAAAGCCTGCAAACTTACAGAAAGACCAACTGTGTTTTGACAAAGGACCAGCTAAACGTGTGGGTGGGCACGTGGCTAAGGTCTGACTGGAGTAATCAAAAGACTGAGGCAAACTCAGACCCAATTCTGTGAAGAAATCCCCTCAAGTTTTTTGTATTTTAAGAACACACTGTGGCAATTTTGTTACATCCAAGATGCAGGGAAGAAATGGGGGCCTTTACCCTTAGGGCTGGTGCCAAGAGTTTTCCAGACACTAACAGAAACAAGAAAACAGTCACAAGAACACAAAAGTCCAGAACCAGCAGAGATTAGGCCAAGAAGGCAAACTGAGTCACCAATATGGCATAACAATATACTCTCTCCTCACTTTGGCTATTCAAATCATTGAGTAATAACTGACGTTTAGTACTAATGTCTGAGTAACATCTGAAGAGGCATACAATGTCTGAAGGTAGAATGGAAGGAGAGTGGGAGACGACTTACTGAATGGGAGAATCTACATTCAGAGGAAGTGCTCTGCCGGTGCAAGTTCATTCAGCATGGCTCTTAACTGGAGCTAAGTAATCATCATAAAATACATAGATAAATGCAGGTATCCTATCTATTTCTCCACAGCCTTAATGGATCCCAAAGTGATATCAGGGCAAATTCAAGCAGGATTCCTGACCTGCATCTGTAGTCAGTTAAGACTAGTTTCTAAGATAGACTTGACCCTTCTGCAAAAAGAGTTCCTGACCAAAATATTCAGGACCAGTAAGTACAGGCATACCTTGGAGATACTACAGGTTCGGTTCCAGACCACCATAATAAAGCAAATACAGCAATAAAATGAGTCACAAATTTTTTAGTTTCCAATGCATATAAAAGTTATGTTTACACCATACTGTAGTCTATTAAGTGTGCAGTAGTAGTATGTCTAAAAAAATGTGCATACCTTAAATAAAAAGTGCTTTATTGCTAAAAAATGTTAAATATCATCTGAGTTGTCAGTGAATTGCAATTTTTTGCTGGTGGAGGAACTTGCCATGATGTTGATAGCTGCTAACTGATCAGGGTACTGGTTGCTGAAGGCTGTGGCTATGGCAATTTCTTAAAATAAGACAACAATGAAGTTTGCCATATCGACTATCTTCCTTTCACTTGAACTCTTACAGGCCATTGTAGGGTTATTAATTGGCCTAACTTCAACAATGCTGTGTCTCAGGGAATAGGGATGCCCAAAGAGAGGAAAAAGACAGAAAAACAACCAGTCAGTGGAGCAGTCAGAACACACAACATTTATCAATTAAGTTCGCTGTTTTATATGGGCACAGTTTGTGGCACCCCAAAACAATTATAACAGTAATATGAAAGATCCCTGATTACAGATCACTACCACAAATATGATAATAATGAAAAAGTTCAAAATATTGCGAGAATTGCCACGATGTGACACAGAGACAATATGTGAGCACATGCTGTTGGGAAAATGGCACTGATAAGATTTGCTCAATGCAGGGTTGCCACAAACCTTCATTTTGTAAAAAATGCAGTATCTGCGAAATGCAATAAAGCAAAGCTCAATAGAACAAAGTATGCCTGTATCTAAGATTCTTTACTGAGAAGCAACTTTGGTTTTACAGAACTCAGAAAAGCTTGGGAGTGGAGCAAGCAGATGTTTGTGACCGGAACCTAAGTCCAAGAGTTTCCACTTTAAGCAGAAAGAAGCAATCCTCCAAACACTGATAGAAAGTATATAGGCATTACGGAGAGAGTGTCAGCACCTTGTTGTTCAGTTGTGACGGACTCTGTGACCCCATCTGGGATGTTATTGGCAAAGATACTGGAGTGGTTTGCCATTTCCTTCTCCAGCTCATTTTACAGATGAGGAAACTGAGGCAAACAGAGTTAAATTACTTGCCCAGGGTCACACAGCTAGCAAGTGTCTGAGGTTGTGTTTAAACTCGGGTCTTCCTGACTCTAGGCCTAGCTCTCTATCCGCTGTACACCTAGCTTCCCATTAGCACCTCACTGAAATGTGGTAAATATAGTAGATCAGGACATTACCTCAAAACCACCAATTCATTAGAAGTAGAAAAGTAATCCAAATTGAAAAATGAAATATCCTAAGGAGAACAGAATTTACCTGGGGTAAAGGAGAGAGCAACCTTGTACATCTGAAAGCATTAGCTTGGACAGAAAGATGTGAGCAAGAGAATGTGCAGATGTCAATTCATTATAGTAGTCCTTCAATGGATAATAAAAAACTAAAGGAACACGTAGAATAGAAAAAAGAACTAATCTGGGTAGAATAACTATTCCACAAATTAAATCGCAACAGCTAAATAAAGAGGGATCCTGGAATGTGAAAGAAATAATGGCTAACATTTATATAGTGCCCCAATGTTTGCTGTAAATATGTTACCTCATTTGATTCTCATAGCAATCCTGGGAGATGGGTACTATTAACATCCCCATTTTATAGATGATGCAACTGAGGCTGAGAGTGATTAAGTGACATCCCCAGTGTTACACAGCTAGTGTCTAAGGTAAGATCTGAACTAAGGTTTTCCAACTCGAAGTCTTAATACTAATCCACTGTACCAAATACTGGAAACCTGATTATTTTCTGTCCTTAAGCTAGACAGACTAGTTTGAATATAGCTGAAAACATGGGAAAATTATGAAATGTAAATTGTGGCTTTGAGGTAACCAGAAATGCCTGGAAAAAGAGGGAGCTCCTGGAGACGTATTTTCTAATTTACAGGTGTGAAGAAACCTGCAGGAATTCAACAGCAGAGATTTGGAAAAGTTGGCTAAGTTCTTTAACCTCTCATGATGGCTATGTTAAGTTTGTTCGGGGTGAGAGAGATGAACACATATGTGTCTAGATAAATGTGCCTCTGAATCCATTTAAATGAGTATCCATTGATTTATTAGGGATTGATATGGTTTAGGAAAAAAGCATTGTGTCTTTCTCTAGCAATTTCAAAGTACAAAAAAGTTAATGTATTAGCTTTGAATTCTGTATGTATAAGGAAGCAAAGGTGACTTTCAGTGAAAACAAAAGAAGCTTCATAAAATTCCTGCCAGCTGGAACACACAATAGTGGAAAAAGGAATGTCCACATGTATTTTAAATGGATCATCAATGAATTAGGAATTAGAAAACTGTTTTTAGAGCATAAAGTTTAGTTGATTTGGCATCTCCTGCCTGCCCAGTAGAGCCATATAGGAATGATTCCTGGGACAAATTTATTTTGGGACCAAATTTATTTATAATAGTACAGAAGACAGCAGTGAAAGGAGGAGGTCACAGAATAGAGTCAAGGGAAAGTGGCCTGTCTCCCCGGGTTGTGTAGTTTTAATGTGCCTCTAGAGGGCAAAGTTCCATTTACCCAATGCTAGTTCTGCCTCTGTTGGCTTACACAGGATAAGTTTGGGCATCTAAATTAATTGTGCCAGGGCCTAAGAAAACAGAATAAATCTATGAGTCAGAATGAGGTGGTTTATGCAAAATAATTTCTTTCCATACAAAGAACCAAGAAATCTTTGAATGCTACTTTCAAGATGGCTGGCTAAGAGTCATACTTTTGATGTTGAGTAAAGTGAGCAGAACCAGGAGAACACTGCACACAGTAACAGCCACATTGTGTGATGTCTGATTTTGTAGACTTAGCTCTTCTCAGAAATGCAAGGATCTAAGACAACTCCAAAAGACTCACAATGAAAAATGTTATCCCCCTCCAGAGAAAGAACTTGGAGTCTAAATGCAGACAGAAGCATACTATTTGCTCCCTTTTGTTGTTGTTGTTTTGTTTCTTCTTTCGCGTGATTCCTCTCATTCATTCTAATTCTTTTTTACAACATGACTAATGTGAAAATATATTTAGTAAGAATGTATATGTAGAGCCTATACCAGATTGCATGTCGTCTTGGGAAGGAGGGATGGGAGCAAGGTGGAGAAAATTTAAAACTTAAAAGCTTATGCAAGGAATGTTGAAAACTAAAATAAACTAAAATAAAGTCATACTTTCAAAACTTCATTATTTTGCTTAAATATGGATTTGGTGGATTAAATGTGGATGCTGATGGGATGGAAACTGAGTTTTAACATGATTTAAAAGATATTTCATCATTTTGAGAATTAACATTGGTAATAAAAGCGAATGCAATGGAATTTACTGAAAGGATGAACTGAGGACACTTACCAAGGATACCCTGGAGTGCAGATTAGGGGGTGCAGTTGCTCCTTACTTGTGGATTATGGAGCGACTATAAACATACTGGTTGGGCCAAACCAGAGACAAGTGGAAGAACCTCTCAGATCATAAAGCAAAAATGTGTTTTTCCAGTAATAAGTGAATGAGCTCTTTTTCAGGTAACAAGTGGAGAATATGCCAAAGCTACTTATGATGTAGAGTAGGACCTGTGCAATTCAACATTCTCAGGGTACAAGGAGCTCAGGGGGAGGCTCTGAACATGAAAGATGGGTGAATAATGCTAAGGAGAATATTACTGTAATAGGTTGGAACATTCAAACACGATCATCAAGAGATTCCACCCAAGGGATAGGAGAAATAAGAAGGATCATCCCTATGGGACGTATCAATAGACTGGAGGTAGGCCTTCAACTCCTGAGTGAGTAAATAGGAGGGAAGCCTCCTACTCATGAGATAGCTTCCCTACTCATCACATAGCTCTGGAGGGAACTTGCCTCTGATTAAGAAATGCTGCCATTAATCCTGTGGAAGCACCATAAAAAATGAAGTAATATAGACTTACGAATGTACAGCCAAACAGACCGCTAGCTGTACTTTCCCAAAGGAAAGAGGGTACTAGCCCTTAGTATATACAGGCTTATAGTGGTTGGCCACTCTCAGAAAGAACAATTTTGCATAGCACACGAACTAGATTGGTGGCCAAACTTAACAGAGGACTAAGAGAACTCTATTTTTCACAGTTTGAAGTCACCTCAAAATGACCCCCAATTCCTTTCAGTTCCTGGATAAGCTAAAGCAAGGGAGGCCTCAGGTCTAACTGCACGTGGACTATAATGGTCTGATTCACCACACCCAAAATGGACCTTCACCTAGATCATAACATTAAATGTGGGTGTTCCCCCAAAGGTATGTCCTAATTCTTCTCTCTCACTACTACTTCACTTGGTGAACTCATCAGCTTCCACAGATTAACTACCATCTCTAGGCAGACGATTCTCAAATTTATTTGTCCAGCCCTAAACTTTTTTCGGATTTCTACTCTCCAGCTACTTATATGACATCTTGAACTAGATATCTCATAAACACCATTAGCTCAATATGTCCAAAACCGAACTCATTATCTTATCCCCCCAAATTTTCCCCATTTCCTAAATTCCCATTCACAATAATGTGAATGGTACTACTACCTTCCCAGTCACCCTGGCTGACACCAGGTATCACTCTCAACTCCTTACTCTCTCTCACCCCTCATGTCCAATCAGTTGCCAAGTACTGTCATTTTTACATTCACAAATCTCTTACATATGCCCCTCCTCTTCTCTGTCACTCCCTTCTTCAGATCCTTATTACCTTGCACCTGAAATACTGAAAAAGACTGTTTGGTCTGCTTGCCTCAAGTCCTCCTCCCCACCCCAGCCCCACTCCAATTCATCCTATACTCAGCTGTCAAACTCATATTTCTAAAGCACAAATGTGACCATTTCTCCCCCCTTCAATCAACTCCAGTGGCTCTCTATTGCCTCCATGATCACATATAAAATCCTCTGGCTTTTATTTTTATCAATTTATTTTGATTTATCAACAATCACTTCCATTAAAATTTTTCTCCCCCTCCCTCCCCACCATCCTCCCCAAGATGGCTCACAATCTGATGTAGGCTATACATATACGTTCCTGTTTAAACGTATTTTCATATTACTGATGTAATCCTCTGGCTTTTAAAGCCCTCCATAACACAGCATAAACCCCACTCCCTACCCCCAATACCTTTCTAGCCATCTTACACCTTCCACCCTTCCACAAACTGCAATCCAATGGCACTGGCCTCCCTGCTGGAGGCAAGGAGTCTCCTGTCCTTGCAAAGGACACTCCGTCAATCTTCCAATTAAGCACATTTTCTCTGGCTATTCCCCATGTCTGAAATTCTCTCCCTCCTCATCCCTATTTCATAGTTTCTCTGGCTTTGAGTCTCAGCTAAAATCTCACCTTCTGGAGAAGCCATTCCTAAACTACCTTAATGATATGCCTTCCCTTTGTTGATTATCCACTGCTCCTCCTGTATATAGCTTATTTGTATACAATTGTTTACTTGTCTTCCCCCATTAGACTGTGAGCTCCTTGAGAGCAGGTACTGACTTTTGCCTTTCTTTGTACCTATTCCCAGTACTTAGCACAATTCCTGGCACACAGTAAATATTTAACAAATAACAGCTGACTGACTGATGGCAAGTAACCAGCTAACTGGAAAGATTAAGCCTAATGTTCTCTAGAAAGATGTATTTGATTATTAAATTAAGTACAGGTTAATCTTACCTGAAGATGTAAGAGCAAAATTTGGATCATCTCCTAGAGATTTTTTCATTTTTGCAGCTTCAGGTGAATATGCTGAAGGATCTTCTCTTTCAGAATCTGAAAACTTAATAATTAATAGTAATAATAGCAATTTATATTAATAATGTAATAAGTTAAAGTAAATTTAAATAAAATCATTTACAATATAAAACAACTGCTTGTTTGTTGGATAGCTAAAGGACAAATAATTTTTTTTAAAGGCTGTAAGCCATTACTAACATTTCAGAATCTCTTGTGGTAATTTTGAGAAGGTAATTAGCTATTCTTCCATTTATGCCTGATATTCTTATTTCTCATGGCTCTATTACTGTTATACTCCCAGGCCACCTGAGAAATAAACTGAGAAAGGAAAAGCCATAAAACTGACAGCTGGACACAAAGGAAACCTAAATAAAATTAAGCTTTTTTTTTAACTTGAGAGTGTCTATAAATCACTACTTTGAATGCTTGAAGTTTTCTAACATCTAACAAAATGGATCTTTGGTTCTTCTAAAACAAAACATGTCATATTTCTGGACAAAAACAACAAAAAGTGAGTTTTTTCTATCAGCTCTATAGGGGGGAATAATATAGTATTTTTGTGAAGATTTCAAATACAGTTTCATATTTTGTCTATCATCCACCACTGTCACAGGAATAACAGTTTTATTTTTTTTAATCTTTTTTTTTCTAAACAAAATTGTGCCTAACTTACTTAAAATATCACTACTGCTGATTTCCTACTCTATTCTACCTGCAGAACACCCCTTTGCACATCCAAGTGTCAGCCAGCATGTTTGGACTCTATTTGATATCACTTTTCCATTATGGAACACTTTTATCCCCCCAACATTTCCACATTAGTCAAGCTGTGAAAGAAGAAAGAGAATACAAGGGAAAAAAATACAAGAAAAAAACAAAAAGAAAAAAAACAAAAAGTCTGCATTCAGACTCCATCAGTTCTCTCTGGATGTGGACAATATTTTCTATCATGAGTCTTTTGGAATTGTCTTGGATTATTATTTTGCTGAGAAAAGCAGATAAGTCAATCATAGTTGATCACTGCAGTTACTGTTACTGTGTACAATGTTCTACTGGTTCTGCTCAATTCATTCAGCATCAATTCATGTAAGTCTTTCCAGGTTTTTCTGAAATCAGCCTACTCATCATTTCTTATAGCACAGTAGTATACCATTACATTCATATACCACAACTTGTTCAGCCATTCCCCAATTGATGGGCATCCCCTCAATTTCCAATTCTTTGCCACCACAAAAAAGAGCTGCGATAAATATTTTTGTACATGTGGGTCCTTTTCCCTTTTCTATGATTTCTTTGGGATACAGACCTACTAATGGTATTGCTGGGTCAAAGGGTATGCACAGCTTGATTGCCCTTTGGGCATAGTTCCAAATTTCTCTCCAGAATAGCTCCACCAACAGTGCATTAGGGTCCCAATTTTCCCACATCTTCTGTGCAGCACTCGAAAAAAGCGTTTCCCATTAATGATAACATCTAGGTTTTCCAGGAAGAAGTATAGATGTTAATATAAGAAACAGATCCTGAGTACATTGTTACATCCCATAACTTTCTAGGCTTTGAGAAGATCACCGGCAATTTCTTAAGTCACTTTCTCACTTGCAGTTTCCCAGAAAATTTTTGGTCACTTTTTAAAATTATTTCTATGCAGTTACTTCAATTCCATTCATCATTTTTTCAAAATATTCATCTTTGATCATTTCCACAGTTTGAAGATCCACAAATATTCCTTTTGTGATTTTAGCTTCATTAATTCTTAGAAATTTATTTTTCAAAGAAAACCTGCACCATTTTAATGCATCACACTGACAAAAATTTTCATTTCCATGTTATTATATAATGGTAGTAAGAAAATACTTTCAGAACTAATCAGTGGTTGGCTTACCATATTTTTCTTCTCCTTCTACAATCATTTCTTTCCTTTGGGGTCAATATTTCTAAACATCCTGGTTTTGCTATTTTTTCTGTCCCATTCCTGAGTAAATCAACAATGTTTAGTATACCCAAGACATAACCCTAGTCAAAGAGCAATCACTGTCAGATCCCTCAAAGACATACAAAGAATACTTGTCATAATGCTTCTCCAGAGGAATTTCATTTGGTGCTCCTCTTGCAAAAGAGTCTATCCTTTAAATCTAGAAGCTAAAAGTTCACCATGATTTCTGGATAAAGTAAAATCACGAACAAGTTCATTTATGTTATTCTTAAATGAGGCTCTGAGGATGGAAAGGTTATTTCAAATTAGAATAGCACCTCACTGGTCTTCTACCTTCTCATGCTAAGCCTCATTGCCATAATCAGAATCATCAGGTTCTTCTTTCTTCATTCAAATTCCAAGTTTTGTTAGAAGTAGTTCTTCACTATGTGAGACAAATCTTATAGTTGATGATCTGGACATTATACAATATGTTTAGGCTTGAAGGTATCACTAACATATATATTAAGCAAAAACAGCAATCTGCTGAGTGCTCATTTTGTTGTCGCCAAATCACGGGAACTACCTAGGAACATGAGATCCAATTTCTGCTAGTCAGTAATCTAACACAAGTGACACCATACAAAGGAGAGGGGTTCAAGCCTTATTCTGATCACATACTTTACAACCAAAATAGAGTTCACATAATTAACTAGAGAAGAAAAGGTTTTGTTTCTGATATTAAAAGTGAGTTTACCACATACATAACAGCCTCTGCCCGGATGAAACAAGGCATACCAAAAATTTAAGTAATGCAAACCAACATCTACAAAGACCAAAACACTTGGGAAAACAGGATTAGAAAAAATAATAATGTTTACCAAATGATGCCTGACACCGAACAAATAGAACAGTCTACCACTTATTGACAGTTTCTCTGCATGCCTGAATATGTACGAATATGTTCCAGTCTGCCCTGCCAGACAGCAAAGAAGCTGGGGCCTCTTAGAACATGCAAAAACAAACCTCCTACAAAATTGCATCCCACCAAATCATACTTTATTACTGACTCATACATCAAAATTAAACATCAAAATTCATGTCAATCAATAATGGTGGGCAGTAGAGAATTGTTTGCACTTTTTAGTTTAGCATCAAAAATACATTTAAAACAGGGCTTCTTTTTTTTTTAACAGTGATAAACAGTTTTTATTCAGGCAATGAAATATGAAAAAATATATTAGTACTTATTATAATAATTCCATTTGTGTAAGTATAACTTTTACAAATATTTACCTGACATATAAAAAGGGAAATTATTATACATATAAAATTTATGTAGATGATCATTACACGTACAATGCAATCCTGGTAGGAGTCAAGAAGCTTTCATTCCTCCCTATGAGAGGGAAAAACAGGGTTTCTTAACCTGGGCTCAGTGAACTTGGTTTTTATTTTTTTAATTTTGATAACTGTTTTTCCATATGATTAGGTTTCCTTTGTAATCCTAAGTATTTTAATTCATGCATTTAAAAATATAACTCCAAGAAATGGTCCATAGATTTCATGACCGCCAAGAGGTCCATGACACAAAAAAGGTAATAAATCTCTGGTCTAAAACATCAGAAATTTCCATGTGAGAAAATATGTTGAACAGTTTATTGAAAAAGTAAAAAAGTGAAATTCCACTGGAAGTGAGAATCTTTATGTAAATGATTCAATTAATTTTGGTTTAAAATAGTAGAATGCCATCATAATCCATCTTCTTACAGAGATAGATATTCATTCCATGGATCAAATCATGGCTCCATGTATATGCACGTACGTGCGTGTGTGTGTGTGTATGTGTGTGTGTGTGTGTATGTATATATACACATACACACATACATATACTTTTTCAGTAAAGAAAAAATATGTGCAAAATAGGATGTTTTTACTAACTGCCCCCCACCCAAAAGAGTACAAGGTCAGAAAATGTCACCCACTGAAAATGGCAAAAAATGAGATTGATCAATTGTATAAGTAACCCATTCTCTTAAGACATGCTTTTTAAATGGGCTGTCAATGAGATTAATTCTTCACAAATGAAAATTACACATGGATACCAATGTTCTCTGAGAAAAAAACCCAAAAATTTCCTAGAGAAAGTACTGTGGTATTTCCCCAAAAAATTTATCTTGAATATAAAAATTTGGACATATTTTTAATAGTAAAGAATTATGGTCTTTTTTAACATTGAATGTATTGCACATACCTGTTTATTTCTCTTTCTTTCTTCTTCTTGCTCATATTCTTCTTTTGATTTTCTGTAATAAAATATCACCAAAAAGACGATTTTAAGCAGAAAATAAAGATGTAAGTTGTCTATTCTAGCAATATGAGTGATACCTATTTACTGATCAACGAATAAATATCTCTTTTCCAAATCTAGCTTCATTTTGAGTCCATCATATTAAGTTGGATGGAATTCTCAGAGTAGTAGATACAGGATGAATTTAAGGAAAAACTTCCTAATCATTAGAAATGCCCAGAAATGACATGGATTGCCTTGAAAGGTCATAAATTTCTTTTCACTCTATGTGTCCAAATAAAGGCTTAGATGACCACTAACTGGTGATGCTACAGAATGATAATGGCTGAGTTAGATGACCTCCAACTCCAGGATTCTGTAATTGTGTGGAGACATACTCAATTACTCTACTCTTAGGCATAAATGTGAATGTCAACTAGAGAATAAAATCCTCAGTGAGAATAAATATTCCAGTAAATTTTAACTTCCTTGAGGCAAGGGGCTCTTTCAGTCTTTGTATTCCCTCATACCTATCATAAGGCACTGAACTTAGTAGCTGCTTAATAAATGTTTACTGAACTAAACTGACTTGAATTGACTACAGAGGGAAATCATCCTTCTTGACAAAATCTACCTGCCTCTTCCTTCCCCCATGTGTTTTCCCATTGTAATCTATAAAGAACTTGCCCAACATGACCAAGTGCCAACAGACCACCAAATTATTTTATTTATTTAGTATTTTATTTTTCCCCAGTTACATGTAAAAACAATTTTAACATTTGTTTTAAAAACTTTGAGTTCCAAACTCTCTCCCTTCCTCCTTCCCCACCCCCCTCATTGAGAAGGCAAGCAATTTGATGTTATACATGTGTAGTCATGCAAAACACTTCCATAACAGTCATGTTTTGAAAGACTAATTATATTTTCCTCCATCCTATCCCTCCCCATTTATTCTATTCTCTCTCTCTATTCACCCTGTCCCTCCTCAAAAGTGTTTTGCTTCTGACTACCCCCTCCCCCAATCTGCCCTCCTTTCTATCTCCTCCCCTCTTCTCCTGCCCCTTGCCCCTGTAGAGTAAGACAGATTTCTATACCCAGTTGGGTGTGTATGCTATTCCCTCTTTGAGCCAATTCTAATGAGTACAGTTCACTCATTCCCTCTCACCACCCCCCCCCGATCCCTTCCATTGTAAAAGCTTTTTCTTGCCTCTTTTATGTGAGATAATTTACCTGATTCTACCATTCTTTCTCTTTCTCCCAGTACATTCCTTTCTTACCTTTTAACTTTAGTTTTTAGATATTATCCCTTCATATTCAACTCCCACCTGTGCCCTCTGTCTATATATACTCCTTCTAACTACCCTAATTATGAGAAACACCTTATGAGTTATGAATATCATCTTTCCATGTAGGAATATAAACAGTATAACTTTAGTAAGTCCCTTATGATCTCTCTTTCCTGTTTACCTTTTCATGCTTCTCTCGAATCCTGTATTTGAAAGTCAAAATTTCTATTTAGCTCTCATCTTCTCTCAAGAATGCATGAAATCTTCCTATCTCATTGAATGTCCATTTTCCCCCCTCATGGATTATACTCAGTTTTGCTGGGTAGATGATTCTTGGTTTTAATCCTACCTCCTTTGCCCTTTGGAATATTATTCCAAGCCTTCCAATCCCTTAATGTAGAAGCTGCTAAATCTTGTGTTATCCTGATTGTGGCACCATTACTTGCATTGTTTCTTTCCGGCTGCTTGCAGTATTTTCTCCTTGACCTAGGAACTCTGGAATTTGGTTGTAATATTCCTGGGAGTTTTCATTTTGGGATCTTTTTCAAGATTGGTGGATTTTTTCAATTTCTAGTTTACCCTCTGGTTCTAGCATATCAGGGCAATTTTCCTTGATAATTTCTTGAAAGAAAATATCTAGGCTCTTTTTTTTGATCATGGCCTTCAGATAATCCAACAATTTTAAAATTATTTCTCCTGGATCTATTTTCCAGGTCAACTGTTTTTCCAATGAGATATTTCACATTGTCTTCTAGTTCTTCATTCTTTTGGTTTTGTTTTATGATTTCTTGATTTCTCATAAAGTCATTAGCTTCCATTTGCTCCATTCTAATTTTTAAGGAATTATTTTCTTCAGTGAGCTTTTGGACCTCCTTTTCCATTCGATCAATTCTCCTTTCTAAGGCATTCTTCTCCTCACTGGCTTTTTGGACCTCTTTTGCCTCTTGGTCTAGTCTATTTTTTTAAGGTGTTATTTTCTTCTGTATTTTTGGGGGTCTCTTTAACCAAGCTGTTGACTTGTTTTTCATGATTTTCTTGAATCACTCTCATTTCTCTTCCCAATTTGTCCTCTACTTCCCTTATTTGATTTTCATAATCCTTTCTGAGCTCTTCCATGGCCTGAGAATAATTCACATTTTTCTTGGAGGCTTTGGATGCAAGAGCTTTGACTTTATTGTCTTCATCTGAGTATATGTTTTGATCTTCCTTGTCACCAAAGTAAGTTTCTATAGTCAGAGTTTTTTTTTTTCTGTTTGCTCATTTTCCCAGACTATTACTTGACTTTTTAAGTATTTGTTAAGGTAAGGCTCTGCTCCCAGGGTGGAGGGCAAACTGTCCCAAGCTTCAGGGGTTCTGTACAACTGTTTTCAGAGATATTTCTAAGGACTTGTAAATTTTCAGTTCTTCCAAGATGGTATGACCTAAGGAGAGGTGTTTACTATTCTCCTGGCCTGTGCTCTGGTCTACAAGTGACCACAAGCACTCTTTTCTGCTCTGGAACTGTGAGGAGGGTTCCTTTTCCACTACTGCTGCAAGCTCTACTATGCTAGTGCACCTCCTTGCTCCAGGACTGCAATCCAGATCCAAGAATGGGCAAAGTCCTGCCACGTTACAAGAACACAGGTCTAGAGACCCCTGTAATCTCCTTCTGACCAACTGTTCAATTCCCTTACTGTCTGTGGGCTGAGAGCTATAGTAGTAGCCACTGCCACTGCCGCTGCCGATGCAGGCACTCCCACAGCCTGCTCCTGGTTTGCTGAGGCCAGGGCTGTGCTGGCGCAGCCTGCACTGGACTGTGCTCCTCTCTCACTCAGGTCTGACAAACTTTCCTGCTGACCACCTAAGTGGGCTGAGAAGTCGGGAAACCACCACTGTTGCCAGTGATTCAGTCCCATGAGGTCTGCTCCTCGCTGGGGCTTGGTCTACACTGGCACAAACTGTGCTGGACTGCGTTCTTCTCTCAGCCTGGTACAACAGACCTTTCCTGTCAACCTTCCAGGTTGTCTTGAGCTGGAAATTTGTTTCATGCCATTTTTTTGTGGGTTCTGCTGCTTTAGAATTTGTTTAGAACCACTTTTTAAAGGTATTTGGAGGGGTTTGGGGGAAAGCTTAAGTGAGTCTCTGCCTTTACTCCACCATGTTGACTCTGTCCCAACTCCCAAAATTCTTTAAAGAATTGGGGAAATCTAGAGTTCGAAGGGACTTTGGTGGCCATTCTCAAAAAAGAATACAAATAATAACATATCTAACAAGTAGTCATTCAGTCCTTGATTAAAGACTTCTATGGAAAAGTAACCTACCAGCTCCTAGAGGCAATCCATTCTACTTCTGGAAAGCTCAAATAATTAAGAAATTTTTCCTAAATCAAGCCTAAATTTACTTCTTTGCAATTTCCTTACGGTGCTCCTGATTTTGCCCTCTGGGACCAAACAGAACAAGTCGAATCCATCAAGTAATAATAATAATAGTTAGCATTTATAAAGCACCTACTACATGCCAGGAACTGCACTAAGCACTTTACAAATAATATCTCATTTTATCCTTAGAACAACTGTAGAGGTAGGTACTATTATTATCCCCATTTTACGGTTAAGGAAACTGAGGCAGACAGAGATTAGGTGATTTGCTTAAGGTCAAATAGCTAATAAGTATCTGAGGTCTTCCTGACTCTAGGTCCAGTATTCTTTCCCAGCTGCCTCCAGAATCCGGGAGTTGGAAGGAAACTCGGAGGTCATCTAGCTCAACCATTATCTTGCTGCAATTTCACCAGTTAGTGGTCATCTAGCCATCACTTTGATATTTATAATGACAGGTGGAAAATACTTGAAGAAAGCTATAATTTCTCCATTCCCCCCCCCCTTTTGTAGGCAATTGGCGTTAAGTGACTTGCCCAAGGTCACACAGCTAGTAAGTGTCACGTGTTTAGTCTGAGGTCACATTTGAACTCAGGTCCTCCTGATTTCAGGGCCGGTGCTCTCTCCACTGCGCCGCCTAGCTGCCCCTTCATTCCCACATTTCTTGAGTCTTCTCTCATGTATTATATATACATACACACACACACACACACACACACACACACACACGTATAAACACACACACACACATACATGTATATGCACATGTGTGTGCACACATATACACACACACACACACACACACACACACACACATTATAATTCTTTAACTAATAAAATTACTAAAGAAAAATACCTAAGAACTTCCCTCAGGATTTTCATTTCCTCTTGTTCAAGTTCACTGACCACATCAGAACCATCTGTTAAACAGTCAGGTAATACACCTATCAAATTAAAATGAGAAGAAGGTAAACAATAAGAATTAAATTTAAAACATTCATTTGTCAATATTCCAGTCCATTACGAAATATAAATTTGTAGTCAAAGTCTAAAATACTTCACAAGCTATCATCTTTATGATGTAGCAAAAAAATTAAAATTTTAAAAAAGATTATGAAGTAGCTTTATTGCAGCAACATTAAATTAGTCATTTTCAAACTATTCATAAATACAACTTTTTAAAATCAATCATTCAACAAGCATTTAATAAGTACTTGCTTTGTACTAGGCACAAATACAAAGGAGATACAAATACAAAGAATTAAACAATCCCTATTTTTAAGAAGCTTATACTCCATTTCACCCATAACAGCACAGGCATTTATGATGAATAGTGTACTTAGCCAATATTACAAACAACAATTTTGTATCTATCCTATTTCTCTAATGTGTTAAGGGAGGATTTTAGATTTCCTCTAATTTAATTTCTATTACTATCAACTTCCATAATATTACAACACCCGACCCAGATAAACTACACTCTCAAGTCCTGAAAGAATTGTCAGTGATAACTGAAAGGTCATGGAAAAAGGAGGGGTACCACAAAACTACAGAACGGCAAATGTCCCAATGTTCAAAAAAACTAACAGAATCTACCAGCTATAGGCCAAAGATTTTAACTTCAAATCCTGGAAATTTTTAGAATGGAGCATTAAAGAAATGGCGGGTGAACATCTAGAAAAGGAAAACAGTGATTAAAAAGATACAGCTTGGTTTCATCGAGAACTGATCTTATCAGGCTAACCTAATTTCCTTTTTTGACAGAATTACTAAGTAGATGAAAGGAATGTTGTGAACTTAGGTTTTAGCCAAATTTTTAATAAAATATCTCTTTATAAAGTATCCTTGTGGAGAAGATAGAGAACTACAGATTAGTTGGATTGCATATGATCTTAGCCACTAAAAACCTAGAAGTAATGTATTCTTATCTGGTTGAAAAGCAGAATTCAAAGAGTAGTTGCAAATATCAACGTGGCAGGTCTCCAGCGGAATTTTTATCAATGACTTGGATAAGGGCACAGATGATACGTGCTCATCAAATCTGCAGAAGTCACAAAGCTGGGAGTGACAACTAACACACTGCATGACAGAGTCAGGATACAAAAAAATCTTGTCAGGCTACAGCACCGGGCCAAATCTAATAAGATGAAATTCAAGTGGGATGAGTAGAAAGTCTTGTATTTGGGCAATTAACTGCACAGCATATTAAAACAGGGGAGGCATGCTTAACATACCAAATGATTAATTTAACCTCTATTTTATTCCGATCAGCATTATTCAGTTTAGTGTGATTTCATAGGGGTAGTGATTATTTATGTTATGTTTGTCTATTAATATACATTTAGTCACTCTAGCCAACTAATATTAGTACATATTTTCATATCTAATATTTAGGTATAATTAGATAAGGCTAGACAGATTCTTTCTTATATTAGGCCCCAGAACTTTAAACTATGGGTTATAAGTTCACTTGCTTCATCATAGCAAGCTAACTAGAGAACCTCTACTCTTTTTCCCTGATGAGTTAAGTGACCAAGCCCAGTGTGGCTGAGATGTCCTAATGATATGGAGAGTCCTCCAGCTTCTTTTTGTCCCTCTGTTCTTTCATCATCTCTATTGCCCAACACGTGGAAATGGCCATGAACACTTGGCCAATGGCTGACCCTTGCCTTGCCTATCAGCCATGCCCATTTTTTTGGCCCAGGCAGATGCTTTCTACCAGTCCTCATCAGCCCTAGACTGAACTGTAAGTTCTCCTGGAGGGTCAAAGTATAGTTCTGTCAACCAATGAGATCCTGTATTTTACTCTGCATCATCCGTATCATTTCTGCATCATCTTGCCAAATTAATATATAACCAAGGCCCTGAAGAAAAAGGTCATCCCAGATAATGAGAAAGATACAAGGTCCAATTTGTTGAAGAGGTCCCTTTATAAACTGCTATTGGCTCAGGGCTCTGCCTCAGTGGCTTTTGTTGAAGACTGGACATTTCTGGGCCCACATCAGATAACACTTTTTCTGTAAAAGATCAAAGGGGTTTTGGTTGGATACAAGTTCAAGATTACCAGTAATGTAAGTGGCCACCAAAAAGTCCACACAATCTTGGGCTTCAACAGGAACATAGTTTCTAGGAAGAATGAAGTGACACTACACACTACACACTATACACTACCCTTGTCAGATCCCATCTGGAGTACTGAGTTCAGTTCTGGTGGCACAATTTACAAAGGATTTGAGAAGGAAAGTATTCACAGAAGTATGCAACCAGAACAGAGAAGAACCTTGAGGACCTGTCAAATAAAGTTCAGTTGAAGGAATTGGGCATGTTTAATCTGAAGAAAAGAAGATTCAGAAGCATTATTATATCTCTGTTCAAGTATTTGAAAGGCTGTCATTTGGAAATGGGATTAGACTTGTTCTGTTTGGCCTTCAAGGGTAGAATCAGGAGCACCAGGTAAAAGCTGAGGCTTAATATCAGGAAAAATGTTCTAACAATCTGAGCTATCCAAAAATAGAAAGGGTTGCCTATAGAGGTAGTGGGTTCCTCCTCCTTGGAAGCTTGTAAGCAAAAGCTAGATATAACTTGTCAAGTTATAGTGGAGATTCCCTTTGTTTACGGGTTAGATTAGATGGCCAATGAGGTCCCTTACAACTCTCCAGTTCTGTGATTCTAAGGATATTCTATCTGGCTAGATCATGAAAATTTGAGAAACAACAGAATCATACCTGGAAAGAAGTTTATCACAAAATTTGCACATTATTATAGCTGCACATTATTTCTCTCCTCCCTGTCAATCTTTGTAAGATGGATGATCCAGTGGAAAAGTAAGACTATCAGTGTGTTGTCAAGAAATAATTTCTGGCTGTCAAAACATTATACTGGACCTATTTATTCCCAACCTCTTAACTTATGAAGAACTAAGTAATCAGTAGAGAAGCTGAATTTTGTTCATCAAAGGGCTCTTTCTTGAAGTCCCATAATGAGTGAGGCTAGCATGGAAGTTTAGAATCCGTAAGAACATAAAAATCTGAATTAAGTAAACAACCTTATTTAAAGTCATAAAATTGAATAATCTGTGTTAGAAACCAGGAGGGTTAAGTTTATACTGAAATTCAATTAAAATTTAAAGCTGTAGTTTTTATTTCATTTTTGAAAAAAGGGTTTCTAGTTTGAATTCCAAACATCTACATAATTTCAAACTAATTCAAATACTTAATAATACTTCAAATACTCAACAAAAGTAGGTTTTATTAATTAAAATTTCAGTCACAAAATAATTAAGCAAATTCCCCAACCTGGGGTGTATATCTTTATGAGCCTTCAGAGAGATGTATATGGGTTTATACAGCAGTGGAAGAAGAAAACAGAAAGTATATGCCTCCCCTACCTAGCAGTAGCACTAACTACATGGTTGTTTCCAGAGCATAGAATACTGGTTTGTAACTAGGGTGAGGCCAATTCAATAACTTCCTAAACTGCTATGAAAGAATCTGGGGAAGTCTTAAATGATGGCTGAGGTTGCCAGCTCCATAAGGAAAATTCTCCATTCAAGCTAGACTGAAGAAAGGTTAATCCACAAGAGAAATACAAGGGAAGGATTATTTTTGTTTTCTGTTTTCTCTATGCAATTCTGCAAGGTGCTCCAGAAACAAAAGGTGAAAAGAGAAATGACTTATATTCATATCTCAAATTCAATATCAGAGGACAATTTGGGCCCCTCCCAATGAGTCCTCGTGCCCGAGTTCCTGTCACTTAAGAGCACAAAGGTAACATGACTTAAAAGAAAGAATACTGGCCTGGGGGTAAATGGGCTGATACCAAACTTGCCTCCTCCACTGGGGGTGTGGGTCTTCTATGAGTCCTCTATGACCTAGGGCCAATCACTTCACCTTTCTGAGTTTCAATTTCCAAATCTATAAAAATGAAGGGGTTGTCTGACCAACTTTTACCAAATTAATTTGTCCACAAAACTTCTACAATCCAAAAATTACACAAAAATGCTGGTCCAGAGCATTTGGAGATATACCTTATTCCTATATTTAAAAAAGGAGTGATTTCAAGGAAACTTGGGAACAGAAGAATAATGCCTATCTTCATATCCCCATCCCAAACTGCTGTAAAAATTATTTTGATAACTAAATTATATAATTTCATATGAAATATTTCATTATTACAAGTATACCCACCACTGAGGCAGACTGTGACCCCTTCATGCCTTGGTATAGTTTTCATGAGTTGCTGGGGCCTTCATCACCAAGTGGCCAACTTTACAGTGATAGGTCTCTCACATTTAGGTAAGCTAGGCCTCAGGAAGAAGGCCCATTCTTATACAACTTTCTAGCACAGATGTGCTGTTAGCAGAATCCCTAAGAATTCAGAGTCACATTCATGGCATGACGAAGCATGAGAGTATGATTTTAATGGAGAAGTCAAATATTTTAAGGGGAAAATATTGCTAGCATTATTGAATACACACCTGTAGTAAAATTAATGTACTTTGGTCCTTGAGAAAAGTCAAGGACTTTCAAATCACGTGCCACTTCAACTTATAAAACTAGCTGTAGACTCTGGTAGTACAAGAAACTTTTTTCCATGATCACAATCGAATTAGCACAGACATGGCTGTAAAACACGTCTAACACTTAAATTCCTAATTTTTAAAATTTACCATTTCTCTCTTGAATTATTCGAATTGCTTGCAACTGCATTTCTATATTTTTCTGGACCATCATTGCTTTAAATATACTGAAATCTTCAGCTGCCAACACTGGTTGCAAGATGGCCTGCAGAAAGAAATGTGGAAGTTAACTTTATATTTTATTTATAATTTAAAAATTTTAAAGTTTCTCTCCAAAAATATTTTAATAAGAATATAGCACTTTAAATAAGGTATGCTACATTATCTAATAAGAAGGACAAGGTCTCAAAGGATTGATCTTATTTAGGAGAAGCAGTGTGAGAACTATAATGGAAAAAGCTGCATTTGAGATCAGGAGACCTGGGTCTGAATAATGACTCTGTAGGTCACCAGCTGTGACCACATACAAATCACTTAACCTCTCTTAGTTTCACTGTCTTCATTTGGAAAAGGAAGATAAAGAACATAAATACTTATGTGAGGAAGGCACAAAACTTATGCAAATATAAGCTGTTATTAGCATAGGAGTTGTTACAGGCTGGGTAGATGTCAAAATACTCTTAAAAGTAACAAACAAAAAACCAAACTATTAGACTTGGAATAAAGTGTCTATAGGCTATAATCTACTACGGTAATTTGTTCATTACTGATTAAAACTAATTGGGATCGATACAAATAACAGCTAAATTTAGAAGGCATTTTGCAATTTACAAACATTATCTCATTTAAACCTCAAAACAATCCTGTGAGGTAGGTGCTATTATTATCCTCATTTTTTAGATAAGGAAACTGACTCAGAGACATACCTTGAAGCTCTGAGGTGACACCTGAACACAGGTCTTCCTGATTTAAAGTGCAGGACTCCATACACTATGCTATGCTTACTTCTAGAACCTAGCAGGTTAGCTAAAAACAGTGAGGGTCATTCAAAATAACTGAACTGTTAACACATTTTGAAAGAAGTCTATTAGCAAATAAAATGTGAAGTTACCTATGTTGGCATAAATGCAATTAACAAAAAAAATGAATATCATTTAACTAAGATATTCAGGAATTGAGAAATTGGATTTGATGTACAGGAAACAAAACAAAATCAGTTCTCACCTCAATATGGATTCCTTTATCTCTGTTACCTAAAATCAGGGGAGTTTCTGAGAAATTAGGTCTGGACCAACAGCTTACAGATCACATACACCATACAGACCACAAGTTCAAAATGGAAATGTAGCCTCCAACATTAAAAGTTACAGGTTACAGTCAAGACGCCAGCCTGAACAAAGGCATACTGCCCAACTCCTCAATACCTACTCCACCAAAGACCTGAAATGTGTATCAGACCAAATAATGAACAAGAAATCTACTAAGATACTGCAGTAAGTGGCTTCACCTCAGGACTGCACAAAAAAGTAGGCCAGCAGCTCACAGGGAAGAGGAAAGGAAGCTGCCCACAAAACCAGCACTATCACAGGCAAACAAACAAGTAATCTCCCAGCACATCTTGGAATAGGATTATCTAATCCTCCAAAGACCATAGCAGGCTGTCTTAAGATTCCATAGATGGCCTTAAAGATCCAGCTTTATTAACCTCGAAGACCAGGGGCAGGGAGAGAGGAGAGAATTAACTGAAGGAGGTGGAGGTCAGCAAAGGAACCCAGGTGATATAGGACAAGATCAAGCAGAGCAGAATCCACCCAAAAGTGCAGCAGCGGGCAATGACTGCCCTGGCAAAAAGCTCCAGTTCAGTTAAATCAATAAGCATTTATTTGCCTACTATGTCCTAGGCACTGTGATAATCACTGGGGATACAAAGAAAGGCAAAAACAGTGCCTGTTCTCATGGAACTTAACAATCTAATGAAGAAGATAACATGCAAACAACTATGTACTAGCAAGATATATACAGGCAGAACTGCAAATAATCTCAGAAAGAAGGCATTAACATTAAGGATAATAAGGAAAGCTTCTTGAAGAGGGTGGGATGTTAGCTGACAGTTAAGGAAGCCAGGGAAGCTAGGAGGCAGAGATGAGGAAAGAAAGAATTTCAGGCATGGAGGACAGCCAGTAAAAGTGCACTAAATCAGAAAATGGAGTGTCTTGTGTGAGGAATACTAAACAGGTCAATGTAATTACATCACAAAGTATGTAGAGAGGAATAAAGTGTAAGAAGACTGGAAATATAAGAAGGGACCAGGGTATATGGGCTTTAATAGGAAATTAATTAGGAAAATCACTTTGGCAGATTGTAAAGGACCGATTGGAGAGACATAAAGCAAGGATATTATATAGAAGTCTACTGAAATGGTCCAGATGTGAAGTGACAAAGGTTCTCCTTCAAAATAAACTAGCAAGTTGGCTAAATAAATAAATAGGTGAATTTGATTTTTAGCAGACATCCAAAGGCAAGAAGAAACATAATTTCACAGGATATCTGGTCATATCACATTGCAAAGTTCATAAAAAGTATTGGCATAAGACCATCCTGAAAATAACTGCAACCTTTGTGCCAACACTTATTGCAGAGGATGAAAAGGCAGAGAAATTCCATAAAAATTTAGAAAGACTCTCCCAATTAAATCAACAAAGATTTTGATACCAGATGATTTCAACACAAAAACAGTTAATAGGCTAAGATGACCAAAAGAAGTTGGAAAATATGGTTTAGCAATCAGGAATGAGAGAGGCTATATTAATAGGCTACCAATAGCCTCATGGCATGAATACTTTTTTTCTCCAAGAAAAGAATCAGAAGATGCTATACATGATTATCAAAAAATAACACCATAAAGTATAGCAGATTATATTTTAATGGACTTAATATTTTATGGGAGTCGTTCCTGAATCAATAAGATCTCTACGCACAGTTAGATCACACATTTGGCAGTGCAAAGATCAGTTAGAAAAAAAATGAGAAAAAGATGATAGATAAGCAAAATAACTACAATCTAACAACCTGAGTTACTGTTTGTCAAAAAATAGGAATGGAAGAAAGGCCATAGATATTGATTATAACAATTTCCTTCAGAAGTTCAGATAATTTATACCAATTGCCATAAAAAAGAAGAAAAAGAACCTAAAAAACCATTTTAGTTGGCCAGCACAAAATTTATTTGTTAAACCAACAGATATGGCAACTGGTTTAGAATACAAACTCCTTTCCAAAATCTTACAGAGAATGACAGTGGAAGATTATAAACAGTTATCACTTAATAAAACAGTGAGAAGCAGAGGAGAAAAGTTAGCATTTAAAGAAAGCTTGACAGGAAAACTAAGCAGAGACACACCATGAAACTGGGAGGACAGCAAAGGGGCAAAAAAATGTGCAATTTTTCAAAACAAACTTTACACCATCCAAGATAGGTGAAGCCTCACATTCTCTAAAGTTACCAATGATTTCTTTCCATTAGCCAGATCTAAAGACTTTTTCTCAGACTTCTCCAGCAGACTGCCCCACTCATCATCCCTACTCTTTCACATTTAATCTCTCCTTATCTCCTGACTGCCTACAAATATGCCCATGTCTTCTCCATCTTCAAAAAACTCTCACCTGATCCATCCATACTGCTAGCTATCATCTTACATCCCTCCTACACTAGGTGTCTCTACTTCCTTACTTCTTTCACTCTCTTCTAAACCCCCTACAATCTGGCTTCCAATTTCATCATTCAACTGAAACTGCCCTCTACAAAATTACCAATGATTTCTTAATTGCAAGAGCTAAAGGCCTTTTCTTACTTATGATTCTTCTTGACCTCTCCAACATATAACACTCAATCACCTTCTTTTCTGGGCTACTCTCTCCTCTTTATGTTTTCATTACACTGCTCTCTCCTAGTTCTCCTTCAATGTCTGACTTCTCTTTCTCAGTCTCCTTTACTGTTACTCCCATTCACAACAAAACTCTGCCTTTGGCCCTCTTCTTTTTTTTCTCTATACCAGGGATTCCTACACGTTGGGTCCATAAAGTTGTTTTTTCAAATATTTTGATAATGATATTTCAATATAATTGGTTTCCTTGGTAATACTATTTTATTTTATGCACTGAAAAACACTATTCTAAGAAAGGGTCTGTCTTTTTTTTTTTTTGCTAGGCTACTGGGGTTAAGTAACTTGCCCAGGGTCACACAGCTAGTGAATATCATGTGTTCGAGGTCTGATTTGAACTCAGGTCCTCCTGACTCCAGGGCCAGTGCTGTATCCACTGTGCCACCTAGCTGCCCCCTAGAAGGGGTCTATGTCGAAGAAGAAGTTAAGAACCCCTCCTCTATACTATTTAATTTGATGATCAACTCTATGCAAATGAGTATTATATCTACATTTCCAACTCTACTCTCTCTCCTGAGCTCCAGTCCTTTATTACAATGTCTCTTGGACATTTCTAACTGTCCCTTAGGCATCTCAAAATTTCTCTACCCATAATCTCCTATCCTTCCATCTCTCCCTGTGATTCACCCCTCCTAAACCTATTTTTTTTCCTCACAACTTCCCTGTCATTCCACTTTTCCATACTTTCCAAAGCCACCATCCCTCTTCTAGCCACACTTTTCTCCTTTCCTAATCTCAACCCAAGAGTTGATAACCAATTCAACTCTGTCAAATCTCTCGTCCTTGTCCCATCCCAAATCCTAGATTATACCCATCATCAGCCTTCCCTGTTCTTCTCCACATCCTATGGAACAGCAAGTAACACAACTGTGCTAAGTGGGTCAACAAGTAAGTCAAGTCAATAAGCATTTATAATGTACCTACTATGTGCCAGCCACTGGGCAAAGCTCTTGGGATATAAAGGCAAAAAACACCTCCTGCTCTCAAGGAACTTACCGTCCAGTGGAGAAGACAACATACAAACAATGCATATCAAGATAAACTGAAGATACCATATTAGGGAGAAGCACTAGCAATAAGGGGAATCAGAAAAGGCTTCTTACAAAGTGGGAGTTCAGTCCCTGGCTCTCTATCACATTTCCCACAGCTGTTCTAAGCCTTCTCTTCTCTCCTTAATTTTCCCACTCTATTTCCTTGCTCACAACAAAGGATCTCACCTCCTACTTCAATGAGAAAATAGGGGCTATTGTTGTTCTCCCCAACTCTACTTCTCCAAAGCCCTTAATTTCCTCTCCTGTTTCCTCCTCCTTCACCCTAGACTGCCAAAGAAATAACTCTTTTCCTCACCAAGGTCCACCCCCTCCATTGAGCCTCTTACTTTCACTCATCCCCATCCTACCAACTGTCTAACTCATCTACCAAATGGCTCCATCCCACCCACATGCCCAAAACTCCCCATCCTTAAAAAATTTTCACCTGACCTCTGCCATCCTGTCAAGTTATTGTCTCCACCACCACCCCCTTCCACAATGAGGTTCACAGAATAAACTGTCTTCTACACTGATTTCCTCCATTTCTTCTCCTATTCACTTCTGTACCCCTTGCAATCTGGCTTCAAACTTTATTAATCAAATGTAACTGCATTCTAAACGGTTACCAATGATCTGTTAATTGCTAAGTCTGGCAGCCTATTCTCAGGCCTTATCCTTCTTGATCTCTCTGCAGTATCTGATGCTGTTCACCACCTCCTGTTCCCATGTAAGCTTTCCTTGGGTTTTCGTAACATTCTTCTTTCCTCATGCTCCTACTACTTGTCTGACCACAACCTCTCAGTCACCATTGTAATATAATCATCATAACCCTGTCCCCCAAGACTCTGTCCTGGGACCTCTTCTCTCCTACATTCTCTAATTGTGATTACAGTAGATTCTATGGTTTCTATTATCTCTGGCAAATAACTCTTCAATCTATACAGGCCATTCTCATCTTTTTTTCTGAGCTTCAGAAAATGCCTGCTGGACCTTTCTACTTGGACGTCCTGTAAGGATTTCAAAATCATCGTGTACAAAACAGAATCTCTGCCCCACTTCCACCCATCCACCTTCTTCCACCTTGTTGAGGGTGGCACCATTCTCCCAGTAACTGAAGTTCCCTATCTTTAAGTCATCTCCCATTTTTTCCCTCGCCTTACCACAGCCGACTGTATCAAATCAGCTGCCAAATCTCATTCATCCTATTTCCACATTTCTCAGATCTGTCCCCTTCACTTTACTCATATAAGCACCTTACCACAGCCAGGCTCTCTTCACCTCTCACTTAGGCAAATGCAACAACCTTTTGTTTTTCCTGCCTCAAATCTCTCCCCTTTCCAATTTATTCTCCATACAGCCATCAAAATAATATTAATAAGCAGATCTAACAATGTCAGTGTCCTGCTAAAGTGCTAGCAATTCCTTCTTGTCTCCAGGATAAAATATAAAGTCCTTTGCTTAACATTTAAAGTCCTTCACAGTATGGCTCAACCCACTTTTCCAGATCTATACATCACTCACTCTCCATTACAACCAAATCGGCCTTCTATTTCCCATACTCAGCCTAACATCTCTCATTTGGGAGCTAAACAGTTAGATCCAATGGAAAGAGTGTTAGACCTGAAGTCAGGAGAACTAAGTTCAAGTTCACCCTTGGACATTTACTAGCTGTGTGACTCTGGGAAAATCACTTAACCTGTGCCTCAACTGTAAAAAAAAAAAAAGGAAGATAATAATAGCACCTACCTCTCAAAATTGCTGTGAGGATCAAATGAGATAATATTTGTAATGCATCTAGCACCACGCCAGTTACAGAGTAGGTGATTACTCATTTTGTTCACTTCTTATTTCTGTGCTTTTTTCTTACTTTCCCCTATAATTGGAAAGTTCTATTTGTTTTTCCTGCCTCAATTAACTAACCTCTCCAATCCCTCCGCCACAGAGCTGCCAAAATAGTCCTCCTAAAGCACAGGTCTGACCATATTATTCTCCTGCTCAATAATTTTACTAATTGTCGCTAAGGTAAAATTCATACTACTTAACTTGAATTTGAAGTTTTTCATAATGTAGCTCCAGCCTACCTTTCCAGGTTTATTACACTTTACTACCCCAACACACTGCCACTCACCTCCTAAACCCCCTTCCACACTGTACCTTTCAGACAAATAGTACTATTTTTGTTCCCCAAACTCTGTGCATTGTACCTCCCAGTAATATGCCTTTGCACTAGCTGTCCCTCATGCCTCTGATGCACTCACTCCTAACCTCCACCTGTTAGAATCCCTCATCTCCTTAAAGACTCGGGCTCAAATGCTGCATGAAGCCTTTCTTGATCCCCCCCCTCTACCCCTAGCTACTACTGTCCCCTCTACCAAATTCATCTTATCCCTTTTACACACACTTACATGTGCACATTTTTCCCACGAGAGAATGAAAGCTCCCTGAGGGCAATTTCTATTTCCCTTTTGTGCTTGTATTTCTAACACTGCCTGGCACCTGGCAGGGACTTCAATAAATGCTTGTGGACTGACTGTTAGTACTTGCTCTCTACTCAAATTATCGAGTATATGCTAATCCTTTCACATGTTTCATTCCTCACATACTGTGACTTCTTTGAGGGAAAACTGTTTTTCATTGTATATAGTTGATGCTTAATAAATAATTTTTGGATTTAATCAGACAAACTGTTATCTAGTCAATCCTCCCCATTTTTTATCTGTAAAGTAGATTATCAGAGCTCTATTAAGTTTCACCTTATCTGATCTGATACAATGTGTAGGCTTCCAAGGTCTTTTAAGATCCAATGTTATCTAGTGTTGTAGCTGTCCCACTTCATCCTCCCAACTTTGTGTTAGTTGTAAATTTGACAGTATGCTATCTGTGTCTTTAAGCTACTCATTAATTTAAAAAATGTGAAACACAGACCAAACACAAGTCTGGATAACTGAAGCTGGGTGGTGTAGTGCCAATTCATTTGAGTCTATGGACAATGAGAGAATGCCAACATTTTTCTCACTTGACACCACATTACAATTACATCTTATTCAAATGTGCTTCTTCTTCTACACGTCCAAGAGAAGTATTTTTGTATGGCTGTACCTTCTATGCAGTACAGTCAAAAGGTTTCAAGGAAAACAAACCCTAACCAATTCTGTTCACATAGTATTACAAAACAAAAGCCACAACCTGTGATGTCCGGGATTTTGCAAGAGGAGAAGTACATGCTTCTTGAAACTGATCTTCATTAATTCCAATTTCTTTTAGATAACTTTCTAACAGTTTTTCAACCTAGTGAAAGAAAACATACAGATCTATAAATTACTTTTATCATATTGATGGGAAGAAAATACATCTTTTACAAGAATTGCTGCAATCTTTAATAAACCAACAGATAAAAATAAAGGGTATTAGAAATTTTACTATTCTATACACACCCATACATTTTTTTTTTAACTGTAAGACCTGTGATTTCAGGCCTGGAAAGGGAACTCCAGCTGAGGAATGGCTTCTACCAATGTCCATCAACACTTTCTCTTCCATTTAGAGTCTTAGAGTTGCCAGGGGAATTGAGAATTGACTTTCCCAGGGTCACAGCCAATATATGTAGGAGAAATGACCTCACAAGGGCTACCAGACTCCAAGTCCAGCTCTTTATCCATGTACAGACGCTATCTTCTAATCATTATAAATTAATTCATACAGAAGTGCCCATGGAATAACCGCCCTTGTTCTCAATAGGCAAACACCAAAAGGTAAAACATCACTTGTTAAGGGCCATAGGTAGAATTAAGATGAATTTATTTTCTACAATTCAGATCCTCTACTAAAATCAACCAAGAAATCCCTATTATCAGAAAACTCAAGTTTAATATGTAGCCATGATATAATTTTCCTGCAACTCAGACGCTTAATCATTATTTAATGATGAAGGAAAAAAAATTAACATCTCTATTTCTTAGAAGCAGAAAAAAGAGAAAGGAAACTGAAAGATTTTTCTCAATATGCCTTAAGAAACTATCATAAAATTATTTTTGAGATTCCATACAGTTAGAAATATACAGATAACAACTCATGTACATAGCATGTTAAGGCTTGACTGATGAAACAGCCTTCTGGTTGGTTTCCTTCCCCCACTGTAGGTCATCCTCTACTCAGCTGGAGGACTTCTTTGGACTTCTTTGAACTTCTTTGGCTTCTCCACCACAGCCCTACACCAAGTGCCTCCTATCCCCATCCCTGTTCACATTTCTCCTCCCTCTCGCTCCTCTCTCAGGTTTCTGTTGTGTTTTTTCTTCCCTTATCAAACTGCTTAGGGACAATCAGGTAGTGCAGTAGATAGAACACTGGGGCTGGAATCAGGAACTCTCATCTTTGTGAGTTCAAATCTGCCCTCAAACACTTACTAGCTATGTAATCCCTGGACAAGTATTTAACCCTGTTTGCCTGAGTTTCCTCATCTGCAAAATGAGATGGAGAAGGAAATGGCAAACCACTCCAGTATCTCTGCCAAGAAAACCCTAAACAGGGTCACAAAGAGTCAGACATGACTGAAAATAACTGAACAACATTAGACTATAAGTTCCTGGAGAACGGGGACTGGTTTTTTTTGGTTTTTTGTTGTTGTTTTTTTTTAATCTGTATCCCCAGCAATTAGTACAGAGCCTGGCAAACAGAACCTAATAAATGTTTACTGAGACTTGCAAGCATTTCATCACAAAAATCACATGACACAGGCAGTTCAAGAAGTTCGATTCATTTCACAGGTGAGGAAAGTGAAGCAAAAACAGGCTAAGTGACTTGCCCAAGACCATACAACTAGTAAACATCAAAGTCAGGACTCAAACCAAGGTTTTGTGACCACAATATGTGTCCTTTTAACTATACCACACTTAGTGAGTGAAATACTGAAAGAAGCTCTGAACTTGAAATGATTAGTGATACTGTTAAAATAGGTTTAATTTCTGCATGATAAGTAAAAGAAATTGAGGATGGAAAAATCCATTACATATGATTTTAAAAAATACTTAAGTTTTAATTTGCCTCTTATCAATTTTTTTAGTCAATGAAAGAAACTTGCCAGTTCTTTGTACTCCTGATGAATTTCTGTATATGTCAACTTGCTTTCTTCTTCATCATCAAAAACTAAAATTTGAGAGAAAGAAATTAAGAAAGATACCATTATACATGAAGGAATATGTGAAAGAACAAGTTGAGATTATCATGAAAAGATCTCTATTTAAATCAACCTGATTCTCACTTAGCTGGGTATCACGCATTCAAAAATATATTACAACATTTATAAGTGCTAAGGGAGTTTAGGACCCTTTACCAGACTACCTCAAAGAGTATATAATGTGGATAAAAATAAAACAAGTTATATCAAGTTACAATGGAGTCCAGATTACATTATCATACCAGAATTTAGTTGTGGCAAATAATGCTTGAAATAAGTAGGGTATTTTTCATATATATTTTTCATATATAGTTAAAATACACATGCCAAAATAAAACCTAGTTAGAAGAGACAAGACAGATTGAAATGCCAATTTGTCAAGATAAGATGCCTCAGGGCACTATACTATTAGTTGTAGTACTAACTGCCATAAGATTTCACAAGATTGTGGCAAAGAAAATGCAATGTAAAAACATCTCTGTTTAAAGTGAATCTTATTCTGAATTGACTGGGTACTGTTTATGTTTGAAAATATTATTCATTATGGCATTCAAAAATACCAAAGGATGTGCAGGGTACCTGGCCCCAAACTAATCCATTGTCTTAATTTACCCTGGAATATATCTTCTATTGTCTTCCCCATTAGAATGTAAGGTCTTTGAGGGCAGAAACTGTGTTTTTTTTGATGGTTCATTTGTTTTCTGCTTTCTGTGTATCCCCTTTCCCAGTGCTTGGCACAGTGTCTGACTATAAGAAACATCTTTCCCCTATTTAACACACAAAAATCTATTTCCTTTCCTCCATGGAACCTCTGTGACCCTATATACCTGTTGGTTTTTCCACATTTAAATGTTTCCCTTGATTTTGGCATCATCATCCAGGTCATACCACAGATAACCATGGGTTATCCCTCAAGACTGTCTTCTGCCTCTACACTATTCACTTAGTGATCTCAATCAGCTCCTAAAGATTTAACTATCATCTCTATGCAGATGATTTTAAGATTTATTTGTCCTAATCCTAACATCTCTCCTGACCTCCAGTCTCATATTTCCAAATGCTTTTAGGACACCTTCAAGTGGATGTCTTAGAGACATCTTAAACTCAATATGTCCAAAATTGAACTCAGTATCTTTCCCCTGCCTGCCTCTCAAACCCTCCCTTCTTGCTAACTTGCCTATACTCTCCTAATCATGCAGGCTTGCAACTTAAGTTATCATCCTCAACTCCTTACTCTCTCAAACCAATCCCATCCTCATATGGAATCAATGGTCAAATCTTGTCATTCCTACCTCCTATATGTTTCCTTCTCTCTCCTGAACCTGCAACCACCCTGCTACACAGACCTTTATCACCTCACACCTAGATTACTGAAATAAAACTACTGGTGGGTCTCCTTGCCTCAAGTCTCTCCCCACTCCAGTCATCTTCCATTCAGCTGTCAAACTGATCTAACTAAAATGCAGGTCTGATCATGTCACCTCTCTATGCAATCAACTCCAGAACTGCCTTCAGAATCAAATCTTCGATTTGGTTTTTAAAGCTGTCCATAACCTGGCCCCATCCTACCTTTCCAATCTTCTTACATCTCACAATCTACCACATATTCTGTAATCCAGTAACAGTTTCCCCTCACTGCTCCTCACGTGATACTCCCTCCACAAGACACTCCATCTCCCACAGAGCATTTTAACTGTCTGCCCCCCATGTTTAGAACTCTCTCCCTCTTCATCTCCAATTCCTAGCCTCCCTGGCTTCCATCAAATCTCAGCTGAAGTTCCACCTTCTGCAAGAAGCCTTTCCCAATCCTCCTTAATTTTAGTGTCTTCCCTCTGAGATTATCTCCAATTTATCCCGTATATATCCTGCTTGTACACAGCTCTTTGAATGTTGTTTCCCCCCTGCTCATACCTTTAGACTAAGCCCCTTGAGAGCAGGACTGTTTTGCCTTTCTTTGTATCCCCAAAGTTAGCACTATGCCTGTCATATAGCGGACAATTAATAACTGTTATTTGACTGACTTACTACTGACATAAGTGATTAAGGAATGCTTGTTGAAACATAGCTACAAAGAAGAGATATGAAAAAATATTCCCACCCCACCCCCTTTGCAGAGATGGAAGATCCACAAGCATATGCATATTGGGTATATTTTCTGACTTTTTGGATGTACTGATCAGTTATGCTAATTTTTTCCTGTTTTCTGGTCTTTAGAAAATACCATTTGCTACATGGAATCGTTCTCTGAAAAGGGGAATGACAATGGAGGAACTATGGTGATGTAAAAAAGGGAACTTATTATTAAACTTATTTTAAGAAAAGAAATACTTGTTGACCGATTGGCTCAATTCCTTTTAGACCAAGAGTGTCCCTAGGTCCTCCTTTCTTAAGCAAATGGTATTTCAAGGCATAGTCCAAATCCTCCCTTCCTAGAAAACAGCTTTAAGCTCAGTGAATCCCTATGGGGACAGGGAGGGATGGGGAGGCAACTCCATCCATCACTTACTTAGTTGGGTTAAAGTTTTCAACCAGTTAAAAAGGTTTCTGTATCCCTTATTATGGCTTTCACTTTTTCTTCGGGCAGAAACCTGGAGAGTTAGGATTCTGTTATGTCATAGTAGGGGAAGGGAAGCTTTTTAGATTTTTGTTGTGTATTTTTTTCTTTGAAATTAAGAAAACACTGGATGGAGATGGAAATAGAGGAGAAGGGGTGGGGTAGGAAATAGAGGAGGGTGGAGGGATGGCAGTAGAAAGCAGGAGTGTCGGGTAGCTAGGGTGGAGGGATGGAGGTCACGATAAAGTTAGGAGTGTGGGAGAAGTGGGAGGAGGGGAGGATGGAGGTGGAGATGGATTTGGGAAATATAGAGTTCGAGTGGAATAGGGGTTGAGGTGGAGGAGGTGAAGAGGATTTGGTTGGGTGGAGGGGGTGAAGAGGGTAAGATGGAGGTGGAGTTGGAGTGGGGGTGCGGACAGGGATAAGGGAAGAGGTGGAAGGGTGGAGATGGAAATGGAGTTGGGGAGTGTGGGAAGCTGAGGGTGGGAGAGAGTATGGGGGCGGGGGTGGAGGGGGAAGAGAGGTTGAGATGGAGTTGAGGAGGGGGAGTAGGTGTTAAAGGTGGGGGGAAGCGGGTGAGGAGAAGAGGATGAAGGTGGAAGGTAGAGGTGGAGAAAAGGACGTTTAGAGGGAGTTCGGAGAAAGGGCAGGTGAACAGAGAGTCATAACGGCTTCAAAACTGCCCCTAAATATAGCTGACGGGTCGTGCCGAGGGCAGAGAGAAGTGAGGACCCCTCCCCAACCTCCTCACCCCGGGCAGCGGAGGATAAAGGAGGGGAGCTGCTCTTGGACCCGTGTACCGCGGGGAGTGGCGAGGGAGACCACGGAAGAGCCGGGTTTTACCTTCACACTTCTGTTCCAGAAAGTCCAAAATGGGGATGGACCAGTCAGGGCCGCGGAGGAAGCCCGCGATGCTCTCCACGACCCACTCCACCTCCTCATCTTCTTCGGCCGCCATGGTCCCCCACTCTGCGAACCCCAGGGGAGGGGCAGCTCTGGGCCCAGACGCCCCCACGGAGCCCCGGGCCGGCTTGGGGGGAGGGGGACCTTTCCAGGACTGGCCTAAGAGCCGCCCCAGACACCCGGACGGAGGCCCCAGACCGGTTAACTTGAAATGGTCACTATGACAACGTACGCAGCTGCCCCCGCCGAGAGGGTTCGGTAGGAAAGGCGTTCCTGCGCAAGGCATCGAGGGAAGCTGCGAGGACGCTCGGGATTGGCTAGAGAAGGCCTAGGGAGAGGCCAAAGGAAAGCGGGGAGGTCTCTTTGCGCAGGCGCGGGATCAGGGAGGGTGGGGAAGGAGCTTACTTCCGATTTCCCGCCGATGGAGTTGTGTTTGAAGTCTGCGCCACCGTATACAAGAGTGATGACTTCGTGGATTCCGTGAGCCTCGCTTTCCAAGCAAAGGCTACAGTGAAAGAAGTTGGTCTAAAGTACTAAGTAACAGCCAGGAGAGAAAATAAACCTTGCAAATTGCCCAGCTTAATCTATGGACTCTCTTTATCTTGCCATACGCAACCCAACCCCAAACTTTACCTTACTTTTATTGCTTCCCATCAATAGCCAACGTTTTAACGTTAAAACGTATATAACGTTTTAATATAGGGTTTTAACACTCACAAAGCACTTTACAAACCATCTCATTGTCTCAGGTCTTGGAACTCCTCCTAGCTCCTGATTTTCCCTTTCCATTTCCACCAGCTTTTCCTTTTACCCTTCTGGCTGTGTTCCGAAGTGAATTAACTGTGAGTTTTTGCCAATCTGGTCTTGTATTCCAGGAGCACTTTCTACTCGGCTTTGGTTGAGTTTTACTAACCTTTTCCTCTTTGCTTATTTACTAAAGTGCCTTGCATATGTTAATTCACTAACACCATCTTGTGTTCCTAAAGGATTACAAGGTGTTTGCCTCAGAGCAACTCCAGTACAAAGTGTATCAGTATCTGGGAAGTTAAGTGACAGTGGGTAAAGTGTTCTAGTTAACACCTTCTTTTGAATCCTGCCTCAAACACTTTTAAAGAGTTCTTTGAGCCTGGGCTTGTCAAGTCATTTAATCTCAGCCATCTCACCGAGTTGTTGTGAGGATCTGATGAGATAATGGAAATAAAGCACTTTGCAAACCTTAAAGAACTGTATAAATGCTAGCATTATTGTGACCTGCCTAACGTCTCACAACCTTCTTAAAAAATATGGGACCTAAATATAGGAATGCTGATTTGAGCGTTGTGCTCTTTCCACTGCACTTGAATACCTCTAAAATGATTTTCTACTCATGAGGAATTTTCCCCCATTTTGCAATCAAGGGTATATAGCTGAATTAGAAACAAAAACCCAGAAAATTCTATGAAGGGTCTTCCATTGCAGCTAAGACCCCTACCCCAACTTCAAATTCCTGTATCTTTTGTTTTTAAAAAGAATACTATGAGACTGTGTTGGAGGGATTGTGGAAATACGGATGAACTGTACACTATCCGTGGAAGTGTGAATTGTTCATTCTGGAAAGCAGTTTAGAATTCTGCTAAAAAAAAAAAGTGACAATGTTTCCATACTCCTTAATCTAGATATCCCACTCCTAGTCAATATACTAGGGGGAGGTCAAAGATGTCCTCTATACATTAAAATGTACGTTTGGCAGCACTTTTTGTAATAGCAAAGAACTGGAAACAAAGTAAATTCCTATCCATGAACTTGAAGGAAAAAATGTGTATGATTCATTCAGAGAAACACGGGAAGATTTATATGAACTGATGGAAGAGAAGGAAGTAGAACCAGAAATATATATTCATTGACTACAGCATTGTAAATGGACAAAACAAGTAAAAAAAAAAAACAAAAGGAAAATGAATACTCAAACCTTGGCCAATCTTGGCTTCAAAGAAGAGATATGAGAATATGCCTTCCTCTCTTCTTTCCAGAGGTAGGAGACTATGGATGTAGAATTGTGCATATCTGACTTGGTTGATGTGTCAGTTTGTTTTGCTGATACATCAGCTGATAGTTTCTTTTTTATTCTTTAATATAATTGAGAGATGTAAATGATGTAAAAACAAAAAGTACCTGTACACATTTAAGAAGGAAAAAAAGAATACTGTTGGAGACAGGAATTCTAACCAAAAAAAAAAATCCTAGCTGCTTATTCATGACTGTCTTAATAATAGTTTGGTAAGGTTTTTTGTTTCTGGAGCAGAACTGTGATTTCATTGGCACAGGGAACTCCATTCATGGAAATGCTTTCCACTGAGACAAATATGCAACTCTTCTATAAGAAATGGTCTTACTCTATTCACTCTATGTCCAGAACCAGGTCCCATCCCCACGTCCATTTTTAACTATAGTAAACCTTTCTTCTAGTCTTGATCTGACAGGTAACATCCCGTTCTTAGAGGTAATCTTAAAAATACCAATGGCAACAAAAGTATTATTTTAAAATGGAAAGCTGAATCCTACAGAAAGTTTGTTTTTGACCTGGTTAATTACTACCTTTGGTGTTCTGAATTCAGCTTTCAAATAAATAATAATAAGACAACTATTTTAATCCTATAAACTACTTTTTATCTAGGCTGTAGAGTAAAAAAAATCCTATATTATATGTTCTTTGCCAATAGTTTCACTTGATTACTTGTTTTATATAACAGCATGGGGGTGGAGAAACTTGCTGTGGGTTGGCAAATAAATGATTACCTGCCTGCCACATTTGAAAATTCTTCAGTGATATCTTAGGTTTGGGAACCCTGCTTAGGATCCTGTTTCTGGCATACGTGTTCTCAGTAGCATCAGAGAACTGTTAAACATTTTTTTTTTCATTCTAAATATTGTTCCTAATATAGAAATGTTTCTATGATATATACAAAAACCTCAGTTGCTCAAATTAAATTGCAGAAGGGAAGACAAGGATAGTCTAGTGTATAGAATTCTAAATTTGGAATCCCAGATTTGCATCCTGTATCAGACACTTACTAGATATGTGATCATGGACAAATTATTTAACTTCCCGAGCCTCAGTTTCCTCATCGGTAAAATGAGAATACCTTAGTGCATAGGGTTCACAGAATAACAGAATTTTAGAGCGAGAAGGAATGCCAAGTTCCAGTTGGTTGAATTTCAAAGCATAATAATGAAATAATAATATTTCACATTGGTTTAAGATTTGCAAGCAATCGCCTCACAACCAACATGTAAGTTAAGTAGTGAAGATATTATTATCCCCATTTTGCAGATAAGGAATCACAGGCTCAGAGACATTAAGTAATTTACCCCAAATTATACAACGATTAATGTCAACCCTGATTCCAAACCGGGTCTCTCAATTGAATTGAACAATTCAACAAGCATATTTATATTAAGCACTCTCTAAGGGCAAAGCACTCTGCTAGGCACTGGGAACACAACCACAAAAAATGGAATAGTCCCTGTATTCAATGAGCTCTCTTCACTTGAAATTCATTATTCCTTTCACTATACCAATCATATCATTTTCCGGCTGTTGTGGACTCTTCCCCCTCCCCCACCACCACCTCCTGCCCCCTCATACACACCCCCCACCTTTTTCTTTTCTTCCAATCCTGTGCATTCTCTGCTATTTATTCTTTGTTATAGCTCTTGCTCATCTCTATTCAAGACTCTTTCATTCCCTAATGGCCTTTTTATACCATTTCTTTGGTCTGTCTTCTGGACCTTTTAGTCTTTGGGTTTCTATCTTGCTTGTCTAGACACATCCATTCTATAGACTTGTCTATGTCATTTCATCTGTTTCTTTTACCTTAATTTTAGTGACATTTGTTTAATTTAAACGTATTTTTAAAAGACAGGGAGTTTTAGAGTTGGAATGGTAATTTCAAAATCATCTAGTTGAGAGGCTCTTAACCAAGCTTACATTTGTAAATGTGTTTTATTTTGTGCATTTTAAACATTATTCACTAGACTGCAAAGGGGATATGTGATACAAAAAAAGTTTAATAATCCCCAATTTAGTCCACTGTTTCTCAAATTTGGCCACCCTCTTTGGGGCTTGAAATATATTGATAGAGCAATAGCTGCTGATTTGGGGTTGTGGAATGTCCCTGGGATAAAGAAGGAGATCCTGGAAAATTTGAAAGCAAAATAAAAATAAAAAGCCTATGTTCATAGTGAAAAAGTTGCTGTGCATAACAAATATCTTTGATATACACATAATTATATTTTTTGTTGTTTAATATTTATTTATTTTGAACTTAAATACAAAAAGACAAAAAAAATTTCCATCCATGTACACAGTACAATATAAAGAGGATTCAGTAGAAAACCATGAATTTCCATCTCTCAGTTTACTTTTTTAAAAAACTCTGTAATAAATACTGGCTATCGTTTTCAAAGCTACACTAGTTTTCTGTGTTTCTAAGTTTTCTTTTGTTCCCTGTTGTGTACTTTTTATTCTTTTTCCTCCGTCCCTTCCCACCCTAGAGAAGGCTACCATTAGACACTAAGATGTATATGTGTGTGTGTATAACCACACTATACTGCCTATTCATATTTCTTGTTTATTCATAAATTGTTCTCATTATATAAGATATTTTAGGTGGAAGAATGTTGCTAGCATCGACATTTCCTTATGTATTGTTTGGGAACTGCTTTGTAGTCCAAACTCCTCATTTTATAAATGAGACAGCTGAGACCCAGAAAAAAAATTTTAATTAAAGTTTTATTTTTTAATTAGCATGACTCTATTTTATCTCCTTCCAACCCTCTAATCCACTGGAAAAAAAGTAAAGAAAATAAAATTCCATACAACAAATGTACATTGTCAAACAAAACAAATTCCTTCATTGGCTATCTCAAAAAGTATATTTCATCCTACATCCTAAATGCATCACCCTTATGTCACGAAGTAGATGGTATGCCTTATCATCACTCCTGTGAAATCAGAGATGGTAATGGTTTAGATAGCTTTCAAAATTGGTTCTTTACAGTGTTGTTGTTATTGTAATAATTATTCTCCTGGTCCTGCTTATTTCATTCTTCTCAGTTTATAAGTCTTTAATCTCTCATATATAAGTTGTTCGTTTTTATAATTTTGATGTTATAAATTATTCTTCTGATTCTGCTTATTTCACTCTGTATTAGTTTATACAAGTCTTTCCCCAACTCTTTGAAATCATCTATTTCCTCACTTCTTATGGCATAATAGTATTCCATTATTTTCACATTCCACAATATGTTGAG